TGCTTAAATACATTATGTTAATTAAGATTTCATAATTAAATTTATAATTATTGCATAATATAAACTTAAAACGCTTAAGTATAAGTTTATTTATTTAATAATGGTAATATATCTTTTTAATTTCTGCCATTGCTTATTTATTAATATTTAAATTGTTAGCTTTTTTAAGCATTTAGCATAGTTAATTTATTAATGGGTATTTAAAGTAATAATGGAGTTTTCTTATTTTTATCTTTAAGAGGAAATATATAGCATTAATAATTTAATTTAAGAAAAACCATAAGTAGCCTTATTTTCTAAATATTAATATAATAATCGCACTATTAAAGGAAACTATTTTATTTATAATGTTATTATAATATACTTAAAGCCTATCTATATTTACTAGGTAAAGCAAGAATAAGGTTTATACTTAAATAATATAAAAGTTAATATAATTAATTAAGGTGGAAATTTCCATTATGTTAAGCGAATTAATAGTTATTTTATTATTAAATTTAACTTTAGCTTTTCTTATGGTGGTTGTATTAATTTGGTATTTTAAGTCTTTTTATTGTAGTATAAGAAATTGCTTATATTTAGTTATGGATATTAATAATGCTCTTATATTTAGCAAGATTCCTTAAAAATAAGTTTAATTGTATTTATTCTTTAAGATGAATTGATTAGTTGTAATGGTTGTTTTTATTTAAAAGATATTATTTCCTATGATTTAATGCATAAACGCTTTATTAGCTAGGAAATTAATATTTGCATAATAAACCTCCTTATTAGGTCCTATCTTTATAATATAAGTATTGCTATTATAATTATTATCTTAATTTTATTTATCTTTATATTTATAGAATTTATTTTTATTATCCATCTTATATTCTTTAAATTTGCTTAAAAAAGTATTAAAATTATTATTATAATCTTTATATTTATATTATATTAAGTAGCTTCTTTTTATTAAATATTATTTATTAATTAAATGTTTAGTTAATTAATATTTCTTCTTTTTATAAATATAATATCTTTTCTTTTAAGGTTATCCTCCTTTTCCTTTTTTATAAGCGTTATTACTTTAAATTTCATGGCTAATGCTATAAGATCTTAGCTACTTAAAGCTTAAATGGCTTAGGTTTAGTTAGCCAAACCTTTAATTTCCTTAAAATACTTAAGATTGCAATTATTATTCTTCCCTTAGCTTTTAGCCATTATATTTATAGTTAATATAATATTAATTTAGGACTTTATTTATAATATAAATTATAGTTATATAGTTAAGCTATATTTTTATTATAAATCTTAAGTTTAAAAATAATTCTTTATATAGTTAAGCTAGCTTAAAAAGAGTTATTTTTAATTTAAGAACTCCTTTATAAGTTTTAATTATTATTATTTTTAAGTTATTCTTTTTAGCATAGTCTTAGCTTAATACTTATTAGTAAAGTTATAGCTTATTAAGCATTAAATATAAAACCTTATATAGGTTTTTATTTAAGTTTTATGCTTTTATTTTTATAAATATTATTATTATTTAATTTATATAATAATGTTAATAGTTAAGGTTTATATTAAAATATATTTTAATTTTAAAGTATGTTATTATAAATATATTAATTTAATTTATAAAATAAAGATAATAAGCCTTGGCTTAATCTTTAAGCATTTAAGGAAAAATTATATAAAATTAACTTAGCTAGATTTTAATATAATAATAAATATTAAAAAATATCTTTATCTTATTATTTAGTAAGTTATATAAATCCTTAATATACTTATAAGAATTATTAAAGGTTTTTATAAATTATGTTAACTTTGCTAAATTTAAGCGCTTATTAGGAATATATTATAAGGAAAGAGTTTTATATAAGTTATATTTCTTATTTAGTAAAGATATTTTTAAGGTAGCTTAAGGTTATGCTAAGTATAATATATATTTTTAATATAAGCTTTATTTCCATCTTTTCGCTAATAATAATAAGCCTTGCTAATTATATTAGTTTTTAATGAATTATATTACTAAGTTTAAATTTTATAATTATGCACTTAAAGTTAGCGGTAATAATAAAAGTTATTTTAAGGATTATTCTTTTAGCAATTATTATTATTTAAAGCTTACTTATAATGCTTATAAGGGCTATATTTATAATTACTATCTTTAAAATTAAGTATAATATTTATTTATACTTAATTTTAAAGTTAATAAGGCATTATAAAGCTTATTATTAATTTATTTTAATCTTTCCTTAGCTTAAATTATAATAATTAATTATAATGCTATAAGTTAATTATTATATCTTATATAAATGCCTTATATTTAAAGGAAAACTTTTAAATATTATTAGCAAGAATTTAGCAATGCTTTAAATATTACTTATATTTACGCCGTATAGTCCTTATAATAAGTAATAAAAAAGTTGTTATTATAAAGGTTTTATTATATATAGCTTGCCAAAATACTTACTAAATAAGTAATTAAGTATTTTATTAATGCTTCCTATGTAGGGGCTGTAAACCATAGTTTTAAGTTAATATATTTATAATAAGCTAAGTTAATTAAAGTTTAAGCAAGCATTTTATTAACTATATACCTTTTAATAAAAGCCAATAGCTTCTTAGCATTATTAATTATTCTTATAAGTTTTTATAGCAAATATTATAAGAAGTAAAATTAATAAAATAAAGAAATATTAATAAAATAAGTAATATTTTAAAAATAAGTTAATAATAATAGTTTAATAATAAGTAAGTTATAATTATTAAGAAGAAAAAGTTATTAGTTTCTTTAAGCCTTAAAAGCTAAGGCTTTTTTTTATTATTAAATCTTTCCATATTAGTTGAAAGCGTAATGCATAACTTGCGCTTACTTATAACATAGCATTGCATTAACTCTAGCAATTATAATAATTGCAAGCTTCATTTATTTAGCAATTATTAAGTTCTGCTAAGTTTTAAAAAGGATTTAAAAATAGGTTTATTTTTAATAAAGTCTTATGCATAATAAATACATATTTCTTAAATAGCGATAAATATGCATATAAATATTACAGGGAATGCTACTTAATTTATTTAATCTTTGCAATATTTACTTAGGGAGTTTAATAATATAGGGAGACCTAAAGAAGCAATTATTGCTATATAGCGCTTATTAATAAAGAGGATATAATTTTTAAATTAAGGAAATCCTTATAAGGTTGCCTCTTTTACCTTATTAATTTATAATACCTATAACTATTAATTAATATTAATAGGTTTCTTATATATATAATAATCATATGGGAAGCAATTGTGTATTGGTGTTATTCTGTCTAAGTTCTGAGAGGCTACGTGCCCCGGAGGGGATAACTAAAGTAGCCTTCCAAGTGACGAGGGTCGTACTTGCCAACAGAAAGGGCCCGTGAGACTAACAAGAATACGTGGCTCTGTCCCCAGCCACTGCCAGACAGTCTACAGAGCCTGTCTTCAACATTGTAGATGACTTGCGTTTCAAAACTTTAGATGTGTTTTTCGGTGTGGCTTGGAAGATCCGGCTCTTCTGAATGCTATCTATCATGCTCACACTGGCGTTTGCTGCCTCTAAGGGTGATATGACCAAAGAGTGTCTTGAGTATTCGACTCGAGCTGTTGGGTTCGTGGGGAAGAGAATAAGCCACCCAGATCGGGCCACAATTGAAGCCACTCTTGGAGCGATCCTGCTACTTGCTGGTGTGGACGTGGGTCACACACATCCAAGAAAGAGAAAGAAAACGTGGCATCAGGACTTTCGCTGCAGCTACTAACCAAGATCTCTCACCAACACCGCTTGGGAATGCGCTCGCAGGTCCAATTCCACCTAAACGGGGTGCGGCAGCTAATTCGCTGCTGCGAATCAAGGAGCATCCCCGTTACGCATGGCCTCAAACGTGCTTTCTTCTGGTGCGTTACAAAGAAACTCTAAAATGGGTTTACGGGGGAAATCCTGTCTGGTCAGCCGATGCTGACCTGCGTGTATCCAGGCAAGATCTGAACGCGGCCATCGTAACTGGATCCGAGCGAACACTGGATCATGGCTCGTTTTCTGAATTATACTGGAGGCGCGATCCTCTTCTGATCAACTTAGTATACGTTCTCCCTCCCGGATACCACAGAATATCTCACCTGCTCACTGAAGAGTTGGCTGAGATTATCAAAGACGTTCATGCATTGCAACGAATCTCTGAAATGTATTGCGAGTCGGCTCCCCTTGACACTATTTCCACAATGCAGATCGACAACCAACAGGCCCGGATTGAATCGAGGCTTCAAGCATTGACGAGACGCGAGAGTCCAATTCTCAAGTGCCGTTGCTTCGCCCTCTACCTCTGCACTTATCTGTCCTGCACAACTGTCTGGCAGTCGATGCTGATTCCTGTGAGTCACCTTTTGATCCTGCGCATGGCCTAGACTGACTGGGCAAAATGAACTAAACCAGTCCCATATCTCTTCGCAGATACTCAAGGTACTGCAGGAGTCAGAAGTCACCTCAATGTGGGATTCATACGTGGACCTGTATATCTGGATCTTGTACGTGGGCGGTGCGTTTGCACAGTCTGTCACACGTGACGAGTATTGGGTGTTGTCACGACAGAATTACTCAACAAGGCTCAAACAGTGGCACACATTATGGCCTGAGCTGCATACGATACTTTGCGAATACATATGGTGCGAGGCTACTTTTTCACGGCCCGTTCGGGATTTCTGAGAAGAGGGTGTCGTCCGGGGGCTAGACACAGGAAAAACTCTCGAGGTTGGGGGTACCTAGTGCTCACCTCTCTCATCCCCTGTCGGTTTTAACATTTTTCCCAATTAGGAATTATGTACATTTTACCTTTCCTAGATGGTCAACACAACTGTCACAACAGGGAGCCGTGCACCTTCAAATTGATATTTCGCCGCCCCAGTTTCTTCCCCGTGTCGTCGCCACTCTAGTGAAGCCTCATCGGCGAGGGTTTTGAAATCAAGGATACTTTTTACGTGTTGATAAAGAACTCACCATGTCTCCAGCAAAGCTTGGTCCTGAGTGGGAAAGCGTAAGTAGACTTTGGGGATCTCATATCCTGATCTATGCTGACCGAGTCATCCACCAGTTCGCTCAGGCCGAACCCAACATACCAAAACCACAGTCGACTCAGGAGTATCGTGAGTATAAGGAATGGCGCGGAAAGGAGACACAGGCACACCTCGCCTCTCCCACCTTTGCCATGCTCGCCGAAAGGGTAGCAGTCGACAACAGACACATCGAACTACCCGAAGCTCCAGGCCACAAATTCCCCCTGCGTGTCTACCGACCATCAAGGGCTAAGCCACAAGACAAGTTTCCCGTCATGCTATACTTCCACGGCGGCTATTGGGTGGGCGGGGACGCCAACTCTGAGGACCTGGGCTGCCGTGCTATCATCGCCAGGGGTAACGACATCGTCGTCGCGTCCTTCAGCTACCGTACCATGCCGGGCGTCGCCTGGGACCAGGTCCTGAGAGACGCCGAGCTGGCCATGAGGTGGATTGCCAGGCCCGATAATGCCGCGTCCGTGGGCGCGGCCACGAGCAAGGGCTTCCTGATAGGCGGTGCCGAGGCGGGCGCCCACCTGGCCTGGTCCCCAGATCCCACCGGAATGGGCGTCATGCCTCAGATCCCATATCGAGATGGCAGATGCGCCCGTGCTTAATAGTCGGCTGTTCCAGATGTTCACAAATGCTTTGGATGTACCAGAGAGTGAGAAGCGCAAGGGGGAGAACTTTCCCATGTGGGAGAGTGATATGAAAGGGCTGCCACCGGCCGACATACCCATGGACGGGTGCGATCCTACCAGGGATCAGGCGTTCCTCTATACGGAGTTGCTGCAGCAGGCGGGGGTGCTGACTAGGACGGACTACTACCAAGGACTGCCCAATATGTTTGTTCAGTTCCCAGAGCTTCCTTCTACTCTCAAGGCCGGTGGGCACTTAGCGGCAGGAGTTGCCTGGTTGTTGCAAGAAAGGAAGTGATCAAACCCGGTTCAGCCTCAACTAAGACTGTCTCTATCAATATGGAACCCGCAGAAGCTCGTCAATATGTCTATAACGTTAACGTTATTGCGAGGACCTTGAATGACCTCCCACTTCTCAGCCCCAGTTAGTCGAATCACATCAGACAAGTACTGCTCATTATTTATTTGGAGTGTTCTCGGTGGAATATTACACTTGCTCAGTAGCAGGAGTGCGTGAAAGTGATTCTAGGTAACTACTGAAGAAGTGTGGGTTTCTCATCACACCGTGCTTAACACGCATACGGCAGCAACCTTGGTCCTTGGCTACCGTCTAATGACACGCAAGTAGTACATCTTCAGACCACAGGTATGGCCCCCGGCGGCATGGTCTGCTCGGAGCATGTCTCCACACGACACATCCTCCCCTCCCATAGTGCTTCTAGGGCCCTTGAAAAGCCATCTGCCAGTCGTCTGCATTTCAAGTTGTAAAGATGAACCGACTGATCACTTATCTCACCATTTAGTATCGCGCACTAGCGTCGCCGTCTGCATCAAAGGACCAAGCATGTACCGCCATCATTTCATAACCCCGCATTAACACAAGAGAGCACATTCAGCTCGATTGCTCAAGATCTGGCACATAGCTATGTCCTTATAGGACGGTATGCGTCGTCCTAAACCTACTTCAGCCTTCTGCTCATAAGAATACTCGGACTATCACTTTCAAATATGCCAACGTCGCTCGAAGCTTCTCCCGCGGCCTCACACCGCATCTCCGCGGTGGTCACAGACATAAATCTAAGCTTCGGGACTGAGATGTACGATCAACCTGGCTATGTCCCTAACCATGTCAGATGGCGTCGCATAAAGAAGGAACTCTCCCTACACATGGCTGAGAGCACTGCGTGGCTGCATCTAGCTGAGACAGAGGAGAGTGAACTGACAACAGACGACCTTGTGATTACAGATATCAAGGTGGGAAAGCGACGTCCGCGCGACAGCTTGGAGAGCTCATGGGAGAGTCGACCGGGTGGAATCTGGTTGTTGCGAAGCAACTACACTGGCGACAGCCACCGAGCCGTGACGAGAGTGGATGTGCTATTTGGAGTGGACGCCGTTGACCCACGTCCGCAATGGACCCTTTCACAGACACCGCTCCATCTCGGGGCCATGCCTGAGATCCCAGTTGCTCGACTGAGCGTACGACACGGCGCGGTCAACTCGGGACCAGTCGACCCACGACCAGAGTTGAGAGCTGGGAGAGATGGGAAGTTCAAAATCGCACAGATATCAGACACGCACATGGTAACTGGCACCGGGGTGTGCAAAGATGCCATTGATGCGCATGGGCAACCTCTTCCCCCAAGCGAAGCGGACCCGCTCACTGTCGGATTCATCGAGAGAGTCTTGGACACCGAGAAGCCAGACCTCGTGGTCCTTACCGGTGACCAAATCCATCACGACATTCCTGACAGCCAGTCCGCCCTCTTCAAAGTCATTGCTCCTATTATCGAGCGCTCGATCCCATACGCAGCAGTCTTCGGCAACCACGACGACGAAGGTGTTTACGCATTGTCACGTAAGCAGATTGTCTGATACACAATGCACCAGGCGATTGCAAGCTGTCCTTTTCTTTCTGATCAAAGGGTCTTTTGATGTATGAGTCTAAATAAGTTGGGCCAGTGCTGACGACTCAGAATTTTAGGCTCAGAGCAGATGGCAGTACTTCACAGTCTGCCATTCAGCCTCTGCCAGCCAGGCCCGGAACAAGTTGACGGCATCGGGAATTACTACCTTCAGGTCTTTCCTCAATCGGCATCGCAGGCCGCAGTGTTGACTATTTACCTTCTGGATTCACATGGTCAAATACCAAGCAAGGTGAAAGACCCGGACTACGACTGGATCAAGCAGAGTCAGATCGACTGGTTTCTAGATACTTCCCAGGAGCTGCGACAAGCGCGGGAGGAGATATGCCAGCAAAGTCCTCATATGTCTCTAGCTTTCATGCATATCCCATTCCCCGAGTACGCAGACAGCGACTTAATAATTCGAGCAGGTGGTAGGAGAGAACCCACAGAAGGCCCAAGTTACAATTCTCACTTCTATGATGCTTTGGTCACAGAAGGTGTGGCTGCAGTTGGCTGCGGGCATGACCACGTCAATGACTTTTGTGCTCAAAAGCCACAGGTTGGGGCGGTATGCCACCAAGGCCACGCCCCAAGCACTTGCCACGTCGGCCCGTGGCTCTGTTATGGAGGTTGCAGCGGATTCGGAGGGTACTGCTCATACGATGGGAAGCGATATCATAGGCGAGCACGGATTTGGGAACTCGATGCGGGTACCGGGAGCATGAAGACTTGGACTAGGGTTGAGTATTCTGGGGAGAGAATCGACGAGGTCGTTCTCGCGAAACATGACGCGGTGGTTCCTCCTCTTTGATGGAGTGTATTAAGAGGGCAGCAGTTCAAGCTGAATCATTAAAATCACGAATTCGGTTTGATATTCACATCGGCCAAGCCAAATCCCATCGAAGAGTTCATGCAGTGTGCCTCTTCACTGGCATTTACACTTCGAAAGCGTCAGATGCATCAACTTCGGCGTTTGTGGTTTTGTCGTGGCATTTTGTAGACAATGTACATTTACTGATACCACCAGTAACAGAAGGTGGAAGTGAGCTTGTTTGAGCGATGGATATGAGTATATCATACGCTGACTGGCATTTCAGGCTCTGGGTAGTCTTCTACCAATGGGGCGTAATCGGGATAACTCAAGTCGATCACAACGCCTGACTTTTCCTTCATTGAACAAACCAGACTCCAAAGCAGACCCCATGGGTTGTTGAACTGGAAGACGGAGAGACCAAATTCCGCCTCTTCATCATCAAAGTCTCCAATGAAAGCCTGGGCAAAATCAAGAAAGACTGGCTGCCAAGTGTCCGGTCTCAGAAGCACGTTTCCTGGTCCGCAGTCCCGCATGACCACACCAGCAAGATTGATCCTCTCCGTCGTGTTCGCAACCTCCTGCAAGATTTTGCTCCACTCCCGGCGATCGGGAATAGGATGACGGTTCTCAAGCTCAGAAAGCGGTATGCCCGAGACATATTCAAGAAGAACACCATCTACCCTTAGGAACGGGCTGTCCTCATTCTTGTCCTCTGTCTCGGATGACTCGGCCGCGGGCAAGTCCACATGCGCCAACATAAGAGGGATGTAGTCTCCTTGCATGTGTGCGAGCTTGTCGCACACCGCAATCTCGCTCCGGGAAAAAAAGCGGCACACGTGTTGCAGTGCGCCCTCGTACCTCGACAAGCCCTCTTCCATAGGTTCATAGTATTCTTCCGGCAGCAGGGGCACTGTGTCCATTTGCTGCTGGTCGGCGTCGATTTCGTCCCACAATTTGGATGCCTTGCCGCTCCGGACATAGCTTCGGAAGGCCTTTTCTGCTTCAGAGGCGGCAGGTAAATACTGCTCCTGGCGGGACTCGCTCAGTGCGCGCACTCTGCGCAGCGAAGAGCCGAAGCGGCGATCGAATAGTTTGAGCACGGCTTTCTTGGTCGCAGTGCTTGAGTCGTCTGTGTATGTGACCTCCAATACGGTCGTCATCGTCGTAGAGATCTCCCTAGTGATGGTGACTTTGAGATTTCCAGAGAAAGTTTCATTAACTTTGTCAACAACGAGCGCTAGCTCCGTTCCAGGAACGTAGGCAGGGAGCCCCGAATCGCCGCACATCTTGAAAAGATCTGGTATGGCTTGAGGAAGGAATTGTGATGAATTTTATGGAAGTGCTGAGTCGAGACAGAGATATTGCTTGGGGAGACTCGAGGTGGTGTGATCTAATAAAAGTGATGTGTTAAGTAGATTTGTTGGTTCTTGGTCATAGGAAGCGCGAATCTGCCGTGGGGCGCAGGAGTGGTCAGACCCTGCACGTGCCTAGGTAACCTGTGAACGGGGTCTATTTAAAATTGTGGTCGAGACTACTTCAAATATTTGCAGACAAAGTGAGGACACTTCGAAGTGCCTACAAACCTATTTTGGAAATCTTACATCACCTGATTGCTAAGCCGGGTTCATAATATTTTGACCCTTCTTGCAGGAGATCGATAGTTCCCGGTCTGGGGGTGTTCAAGTTCTGTCGTGCTTCTGCCCCTGCGGCTTCTTCTTCCAGCTCGGCCTCCACTCCCTCGACGACAGCGAGTGGTGCTACGACCGGGGCAGGCCTGAATGTTGTCCTTGCTGCGTTTTGTGGCGTTACCGCATTGATGCTAGAACTGTAGATTGAGACTGGTTTCCACGTTTCATTTCAGATTTGTTTACCCATTGCGAGTTGTTGCTCAAGGATACACGGTAGCGTGATGTATTATATGTTATAGTGTATGTGTGTGTGTGTGTGTGTGTGTGTGTGTGTGATGAAATACTTTTTGTATTTTGTATATTTACAAGTCTGGTGATATATACTAAGTGTCACGGCACAGGTATATAGGCTGCACTGCATTGTCCAAAGGTGTTCTAGACAATTCTGGCATTTTGGTGTTTTGCGTTACAGTGCAGCGGCGAAGGGCGCTGTCTCACTAAGCATTTCAAGTGTGCCGGAACTTTTGTCCACCAGCTGTACATGTTATCAGCTGTAACCTCGTTGGCTAAGCCTCCTTCGTACAGCATCTAGCGCGCAATCCTTAATCTAATCCTCATATGGACAAGTCTACATCTCTGCCTGCTTCAAAAGACACCGCATCATTCTGGATCAGAGCAATCAGCGTGATCGTGCCGTATCGGAAATCATTTGTGCTGGCCAATATGCCCGCTAAACTTGTATTCGGCGCCGGGGGCATCGGCGGGACCGAGAAAGGCTTCACTTACACGTGGGACACAGCGGAGAAGGCCTCTTCGCTCCTCGATACCCTAGAGGCCCTCGGGCTCAAAGAGCTGGACTCGGCAGCTTCTTACCCGCCCGGCAACCCCTGGAACACCGAAACGCTGCTGGGACAGAGTAAGGCTGTCGAGAGGGGCTTCGTCGTTGACTCCAAGGTCCTTGGGGCCCGTGGGCCTATGCTAACGGACGAGCTCATCACCGCGAGCGTGGACAAGACGCTTCAGCTGCTCGACGCCAAGAAAGTGAGGACGCTGTATGCCCACTTCTCGGACAAGCATACGCCGATCGAAGAGACGGCCAAGGCCTTTGATCGGCAGCATCGAGAGGGAAAGTTCGAACGCGTACGCCACTCTCCTTTCCCGGCCAATACATGCATGTTCTCACGTCTCCGGCTGACAACGCGAGCCACAGCTGGGCCTGTGCAACTACTCAGCCGCGGAGCTATCACAGTACTTCTCAATCTGTGACGAGAAAGGCTACGTCAAGCCTGCCGTGTACCAGGGCGAGTACAACGCGCTCCTGCGGGACGACGAAGCGGAACTCATCCCGATTCTACGCCAGCACAACTGCGCGTACTACGCCTACAGCCCCCTAGCAGGCGGCTTCCTCACGGGCAAGGTCACCTTCGCGACCAACGCCGAGTCCGAGCTCCACCGGACGCGCTTCCACGGCCCCAGCACGTTCCAGGCCTATGCCGACAGGTACGACAGGCAAAAGATGCATGATGCTGTCAGAGCGCTCAAGAAGGTGTGTGACGAGGAAGGGGTGAGCCTGCAGGAGGCGAGCCTGAGATGGTTGATCTGGCACTCGCAGCTGGGTGAAGGAGATGCGGTGATCTTGGGGGCGAGCAAGAAGGGTCAGCTCGAGAGTAATGTGAAGGATGCTAGGAAAGGGCCCTTGGGGGGTAGGGTGAAGGAGGCTGTTGAGGGGATGTTGAGAGTTAATGGGAAGTGGTGAAGGAGTGGCGGCGCCGAACGCACTCGTTCTATCTTCGTCGAGGGACAGTGCGTAGGCCAAGGTAGTGTCCTGTAGTATTTGCGTGATCTATGTCAGTGATCTTTTAACCATTGGAAACCTGTATCGAGACCGCTGTCGCCAATCAGTGTCGGCTTAGCCTTCGTTCAACATGACATCAAAGCACTGTCAACGCTTGCGCAATGCCGTGATGTTGAGTCCATTGATTCTTATCTATATATCTCTATATTAACCTCTTCGTGGGAATGTCGGCCCGAGATCCCCCGAGGGTGTCAGGGGCGGCGACCCTCCCTCTGCACCCGTTTTGCAAGTGCTTCTAGCACAGCAGTCCGTGAGGGCTGTTCACCAAAAGCAGGCACATAACGATAGCGGATGCGGGATATAAGTGCTGAAGTCCAACGCCGAACTGGATCGAGGAAATCGCAAATGCTGCAGGATACGCCTTCCCAACTCCAAAGAAAAAATGAACGTGATGCCAGCTCTTCCGTCTCTTCTAACTAGATGCCGAGGTATTCCCGCAGAGTCTTCTGCCTCGTCACGGATGCGCCGATGGCCCTGTCCCTCTCGACGCCTGCTTCTGAGAGGTCCTTGATGTTGTCAAGCACGCGGATGTGCTCCTTCTTCAGCTTCTCGAAGTTCTCGTCGAGTTCTTTGTGCCATGGGTAGAGGACGAAGACCTGGAAGCATAGCGCGCTGCTAGCGACGAGGAAGTTCGTTATCGAGACGGCTCTCGTGATGATTGCCATCTTGACGGCACGGGATGGTGGTTGGGAGGAGGGGTAGAGGGTTGGAACGGCTCGGAGAGCAGTCGAGGGATTTTCTTGTTCGCAGGATATTACCCGACTTCGACTCGTGTCAGCTTGAGCGATCGACCCGGTCAGCAGTGATACGAACCTTGTTTGATTATTCTACTGAGGTTACTCAGGCAAAGCAATGTGTTGGATGACTAGTTTGGGTACCCTGAGTTGTGTGCAGGGAGTCACTTGTGGTTTTGTTGTAAGAGCGAAGAGGGCGGATGACAAGCCTGGGCGGCCCGGAAACGCCTCGTAGGAATCGGAGAAATGAGGAGCCACAGGGATTCCGAGAGACCGGAGCAGCCACGAGGGATGTGGGTCTAGAGGTGCAATGACATGTGAATCTCTGGAAGGTTCCGTCTTCCTTTTCTGAGTTAAATATAGTCACAGCGGCCCGGCTGGATATGCCTGATGATGCGATGTGAAGGCTCCAGCCGGTTCTGCCAGAATTGGATGATTGAACCGTTGCTGAAAACTTTTTCAGCGCTGCGCCGCTGCCAACATCCAGCAACGTGTCAAGTGCTCACGGATGCGGCACTTTGCCGGTTTCTTGAGTTTACTGTCCTCGTGCAGCGCAAACTGACAAGTGACAGGTGCGTGTGAGTGGGTCTCATATTTCTCACCCGAGCGGCATGTCCTGCCTGCCTGCCTGCCGACTTCGGTGCATCAACGGACGAGCGGAACAGCACTGACATCGATGTCTTACAAACATTTGTAGCAAAGGTTGGTTCTATTTTGTTATCATTTGCAAAGAAACGCTGAAGCCTTTGGGTTGCCGTGTTGTGCTGCGGCAGTTGTGGTCGTTGAAGCGCCGGTTCCATCGCGGACGAACCTGTGGGGCGGGGCTGGAGCCATATTTATCATCACGCGCCCGTTGACATGCATGGCGCAACTTTGGGCTTGTCTGTCTCTGTGGTGTAACCATCTAAATAAAACTGTGACTTTGATTGCATATTAGACGCGAGCGAGAATTCCGCGAGAATTTATTTACACTGACAACTACTCTCTTCACACTGGCTCTTCCACTGATGACTGGGTCAGACGGAGGGGCCGGGCTGTTCCATTCCTGCACATCGGACATGCACCCGGATTCAGGAGCCCAGTGTGTTTGTAACAAAATGGCCATTTCCACTGCCCCCTTTCTCGAATTTCACAGGCAGAGTTGTGTACATCGCAGTCACGGGCATCAAAGTGATCGGAATTGAGAACCGGACAGGAGTCTATCTTGTGTTATTGCCTTGGGGGATAAATTGCCGAGGGAAGAACTTTCTAGCTGGGAATGGCACCGAGTCTCTCCCTCCTCCATTCCATACCCCTCCAACGCAGCAAAAAGATGGCGGCTGCACAGAAGATACCACTCCACAGCCCCAACGCTGTGAAATACCACCCTCTCCCGGCCGCATCCATCAATGGCTGCAAAATAGCTACACCAGTCGCCGCCATTGCGCATCTCGTGACACTAGTTGTTGCAGCGGCGGTGCTTGGGCTCTGCGGAAAAGAGTCGATCAGCATGGCACTGTAGGTCGTGTAAAAGAACGTGCCCCAGAAGCCCTGCAAGAACTGCAGAACAAGAACCACAGCTGGGTGCGCATGTTGATGAAGTGCCCACCCATAACCTGCCATGGTTGCTGTGGATATCGCGAGTCCAACAAGGCTACCTCTGGTCCTTGACTTCTCGATCGGGAAATCGAGCAAATCCCCCCCCTGACGCCTTCTTGGACTCGTCACTGCCGATTCTGCGTGCCACCGTCCTGTAATTATGGTCCAGGAGCTTGCCGGTGAAATAGCTTCCGAGGATGATGCCAGTGCCTCGGGGTAGATACGCAAGTCCAGTTTGCCATTCGTTCCAGCCGTAGATGGACTTGAATATATCTGGCACTGCTGCAACGAAGCTGTAGTCGACAGTGTAAAACGAGCCATGTACCCAAAGTATCAAGAAGGTGTCTTTGTGAAAGATGATGCGGAAGCAGTTGTAGAAATTGATGAGCCCGTACTTTTGCAGAAACCGTCTTACGGGTGTAGTCTGGGGAAGTACTTTTTCCTGGTCCGTACCCTCGGTCGCATGCTCGTATTGAACAACACCTGTGCGGCCAGCCAGAAACTCCCGCACAAGAGATAGCCAGCTGATCTGCCACCATTTGAACCGAGATCGATCTGAGCCGTTCCCAACAAGTGACCTTGCGGTCTCGGGCAGAAACAGGCCAACAGACGAGAATAAGATTATGGCCGCAATGACCAGCGCCCAGAAGGCCCAGTTATAGCTGCCGCTGAAGTATGCCACACAGCCTCCAATGATGGGCCCGATGCAGGTACCCAAGTTGAGAGCCATTCCAATGGGCCCCAACATCCGACCCCTGTCACGAGGCAAGCAGACATCCGCCACCACACCGAAGGCAATGGAGTACGTTGCGCTCGCACCGAGGCTCTGCAGTGCTCGCAGGGTCGCGAGCGCAGCGAAACTGCGCTCATTGACTGCCAGCCCGATATTGCTCACAGCGTAGATTCCGAGGACGACGAGGAAGATCGGCCTCCGGCCGTAGGTGTCCGAAAGCGGGCCGAAGATGACTGGTGAGATAGCTTGGAACACGATGTAGATCGTTAACGTGAGGTTGACGGCTTGGGCTGAAGTACGGAAGTGCGTGCGTAGTAGTTGTGGAAAAAGCGAACGCTTAATCCGTCAGCCGGATCAAGCCTTATACCGTAGGTACTTCAACACACCCCCCAGTTCGCAAGGTGGTACCCACCGAGTGAAGTATATGCCATGGTAGCCCCTATATACGTAAGACGCTTTGCCTAGGTTGTATACCCTAAATATACTTATGTAAGCAGTGCCATTTAAACGGTAGGTAGTTCTTAAACCTGCAAACTTTTTAGCCTTTAAACTTAGAACCTTTATAAAACCTAAATTGTGAGGAAGGAGCACCGCACAGACCCCTTATGGGCATTAATAGGTAGTCCTCAGCCCCTCAGCCCTTTAGCATAAACTTAAACAAAACCACAACCAAAAACTAAATACAACCCTCTTATTGCAAAACCCCTTAATAACTTAGCTCAGATTACAGGAATTAAACACCAGCCGGTAACCACCATAAATATAGCATTACTATAAATTTACCATTAATTTCTAACTACTTGCTTTGCTTTTATATAACCATTTTAACACTTATTTATCTAAACTATTTAATTATATAGCTTCACAAAACTCCACGGCTAAACTTAAATAACTATATGCTTAACAGCTCTTATAATTCTACTACTTATCCAAGTTTCCATATATTATAAAGATTTAAAATAATAAGCTTAAATACGCTTATCTCTTACAGCCTATCTTTAATAAAAACAATCCAATTCCTTAAGGCGAAACTTATTAACTATAAAATTAATTAATAAAGCAAAAAAGCCTTCCCGTATTTCTTACCCGCTAACAAGCGCTCCTATTACTTAAATCCCCTTTAGCATTTAATTCTTAAGCCGCTTCCTTAGTTAGCCAAACGCCGCTTCCTAATAATTCATTATATATATTAATTAAAACATAATTTCCTTAAATACTTAAGCATCGCTAAATAATAAGTTTATTAAGTTTGCCATTATCCTTAAAAGTTTCCCTTAAAAATATACCGCCCATATTAATATATAATTAAGACCTTAGCTCTCCCCCGCGTTCAAAAAGGAACGATAAAACGAAATCAAAAGGCCTTAAATCTAACGATAACGATATAGCACCACTCATAGCTAAAAACACCGCCAACCTTATCACACAGGTAATAACACAGCTCCATAACCAACAAAACCAAGATTTCGCATATCTGATTGCCATAGCGTTCGCATATGGGCATTGATAGGTAGTCCTCGGCCCCTCGGCCCTTCGGCACAAACTTAGACAGAACCACAACCAGAAACCGAATACAACCCTCTTATTGCAGAACCCCCTGACATAAATGTAAGGGGCTTAACCTAGGGCGCCTAATTTAGTATAGCTCAGGGGAATATAGCGGTTAATCGCGCTATATAAACAAACCAAGGGCCCATAACTATGGAAAAAGCAAACGCTTAATCCATCAGCCGGATCAAGCCTTATACCGTAGGTACTTCAACAGTAGTGGGAGCAGTGGCAAGTAGATCGTGGCGGTAAGGGAAGATGTAGTTGTTGCCAGGCCGACCAGGAGCTGAAGCTTTCTGAGCTGCGACAGGGTGAAGTGTGTGAAAGGTTCCTCATGGTCGCTTTCTTCGCCCTTGCTCTCATTGCAAACGTCCCCTTTCTGCTCGGCTGCGGGTATGACTGTCTTCGGATCGTCCGCCTCGTCGGCCATTCTCATTCCGTGTATTTAAAATTGTCTCGAAGGAAATTGATTAGGAGATGATGAGTAAAATTCAAAACAGGCACCAATGTGTACATCAGTAGGCAACAACAGGCAACGGTGCAGACGGTTTGAATGCTCCTTGCGGGGAAGGTTGGATTTTCAACAGTGGCGTAGTAGCCGGCCTGTTGGTTGCCCCAATTTTGCCAGTTACCTTGCACCATACCTTTCCTAAGTTCTTTATGCTTAATTCGCGTCTAAGAAGGGCATTTGGGCTGAGGAAATTCACAATTTTGTAAAAGAAAATCGCTCCTCACATGTGGTTCCTTCGGGCTTTGCATCCGTTCCAAACTGTCTTCAACATCGTCAGATTACGATCTGTCTGGGCTTGCTTGAGTATGATTGCCTGGATGCAGCTATATTGCAATGATTTACATTTCAAGATCAAGGCTTGTAATGCTAGTTACAAAGTGTGATCACGCTCTCCGGACAGAGCTGTCATTTCCGACTCCTCAAGTCTCCGCGGCGCTTCTCCTTCGGGGAATGGATCGAACTTCTCAACGAGATAGCACATGTCATTATAAGCCCTGGTAATAATCTGTTAGCGCATCTCACTCATTACTTTGTGCTTGTTTGGACACTTGCATCTGGCGGACAGCCTTGCCGGAGGCTTTGTGATGCACCGAGTACCACACGTAGTAGTAGCAAGCATATAGACGATTTCTGTCGTCCCATTCGTCTTTTGGCTCGCTAGGGGGAAACATCTTGAGATAGGTCTTGATGTATATGTCCCGGTTGATCTTGTTGTAGTAGCCCCGCCAATCAGCCACATCCAGCTCGTTGTGCGCGTAGAAGCCCGGAGAGTCGTACATGTATAAGTTTCCATTTTCCAGGGAAGTGCCCGTGTTGCCTTCCCACAAATTGGCATGTATGAGGCTTGGTTTGATGGTCCTACCATTCTCTGTCAGTGCGTCCAGCAAGCGGGGGATGACCGAAGTAAGAATGCGCTTCTCCACTCGATCAAGGTCATCCCAGTGCCCGTTGGTACTGAAGTCAAGATCCATCACATGCTTCAGAAGCCTTGTGTAGAAAGTCGTCCAGTTGCTCTCCCAGCCCACTTCTTGAGGGTACACATTCTGGCAGGTGGTGACTTCAAAGCCAAATTGCCCGGTAGGTGACTGGCTTTCGCGATGAACACGAGCTAGTTTTGAGCACAACTCGAGAGGGTCTGGCATAGAATTCGTTTCCATTTCCAGATACTCGAGGAGCAGGAAATATGCCTCGACATCTTCAGAGGCGTACTTCCCCCAAGAATGTGGTTTCGGCACAAAATCTGGCGCAAACTTGTAGAACTCAGACATCGCGTAGAATTCGCCCCTCATCATCTGACCTCCCAGCGCCAACGGGGCAGACTTTAACAAGAACACGTCTTCATGCCCATCTGGTAGTCTCAGGTGCAAGCGCGCTGTGACTGTCCATGCGGAGGTGGCGTAACGGTGGGCAATGGTGACGGTGGTACCCTTGGGAAACTTGGCGAGAACATTTTCATCGACGTAGAAGTCCCCCTCGTGGAGAAACCCTGTTCCAAAAGAGCGATCGATGAGTGTCTGGAGAGGTATGGCCATGTTGAGATGCCAAGTCCAGAGCGGAGCAGGCGTACAGCCAGGGGTTAAAGTCTAGCGATAAGGAATGAAGAGGAAAAGAAACGAGGAAGCGAATGATGAAAAAGGATACTGGGGATTTTCACGTAGATGTCAAAGAGGTTGCATCCATGGACGCCTGGTGAAAAGCCATTTCAGCAACGTTTGGCTGCCCAGGCTTCGGACCAACACAAGAAGCGAATCTTGCATGTTTCGGTTCAGTTGGTGCAGGCCAGGCGGCACGGAGGCTATTATTGGAGATGTCGTGATATGTTAACCAATGGTTCGTGGAATGCTACCGAGGCCCACGTAGGTGTGCGGCACAGCAGATGTCTGCCAATCAGACCACGAGTCTACGGTCCATCACCATGGGCGCGACCGGGTCAGCTTGCGGAGACACCCGGTAGCAGGGATTGATAATCGAAAGGAGGGGGTTAGATAGTTATGAGGTCCTTCCCACCTTCAACTATCAATCGCCAAACAGGCGTATACCAGCCATAGGTGCCGTATAGACATGTCTCAGGGCCCTCGGTAGGTACGGCATTCAACAAGCCGCTTCCCCCTACCACCCAACAGCTGAACCCAGCAGTTACATACTCGTCCAACGGTGCTATTCTGCGTCACCAACAAGCTGGCACTCTCACGTCGGGATGTGAAGTGCAATCAGCTTCAGCATGGTGAGTGATAACCAATCAACGTCCTCTGGGCTAGAGAAATTCTCCAATGTTGGCCATGTTTGTTTCCAGGAAATTTCACCACGGCAAATACTGTGAAATGTCCTCGAGTATGAAGTGAATGAGGCATTTTACTCACACAGCTGCAGTTCAAGCGCTTTCGTTCCAAGAAGTCACGCCCTGGGCATGATGTTGAGGTTCCAGGAAAGCAGGATGCCAAGCGACCCATACCTTCGCTTGGTATTATAGCACCAGCCGAAGTCTCTGAGACGCCCACTCTCCATGAGACAGAGAGCACACCGGAACGATCATCGGTTTCAAAGCGTCTAACGCCGTCCTTGATCGCGACGTCCAATGACAGCCGCAGACCAAGCCCTACTCGCAGTGAGACCTTGGCTTTGGGACTCCATGTCCTTCGTGAGCCGGAGGAGATCGCCTTCGACATAATCTTTGTCCACGGGCTGGGTGGACATAGTCAACGAACCTGGTCGAAGAATCACGACCCAGGGTTCTTCTGGCCTGAACTATGGCTCCCTTTTGAGCCTGGAGTTGAAAAGGCTCGGATATCTACCTTTGGCTATGATGCAAACTGGCGCGGTGCAAGCCGGAGTATCTCAAATATAACGGACTTTGCCAAAGAGTTATTGTTCGAAATGCGATTTGCCAGGACTCTTGCAGGCGAGGAGTTGAATATCGGATCGAGGCCAGTTGTTTTCGTTGCCCACAGCATGGGGGGCCTTGTGGTGAAAAAAGCATATCTCCTGGGTTTTCACGATGAAATCTACTCGAAGATGGTCTCATCCATCCAGGGTATCATTTTCCTTTCCACCCCTCATCGTGGGAGCAATCTTGCCGAAGTACTCAACAGAGTATTATCGGCGTCTTTCCAATCTCCGAAAAGCTTTATATCAGACCTCACAAAGAGCTCGCCGGCAATTGAAGAGCTGAACGAACAGTTTCGCCACCACGCATCGCGGCTTTCTACTTGGTCCTTTTACGAGACGCTTGCTACATCAATCGGACTCAAGAATGTTATGGTATTGGAAAAAGAGACGTCCATACTTGGCTACCCAGCGGAGATCTCCCGCCCTCTCCAGGCAGACCATCATGATGTCTGCAAGTACTCAAGCCCAGTCGATTCGAATTATTTGAGCGTCAGGAACGCGATAATCTTCCTAGCCTCCACTCTTTCTTCCAGAGATACCCGAAGTAAAGCTGAGGATATTGACACGACCGACAGCGAGAGCACGGTGCTCCAGTGCCTGTCTCGAGCCTGCCCGACAGCTGAAGATGATTACCGTGCAATTTTGGATAAGTGGGTGCCAGACACATGCACGTGGATATTGGAGAACCCATGCATCATGCGCTGGCTTGATTCAACGCCGAAGTCACGAATTGTGTGGTACGTCGCACCGCCCGGCAGTGGTAAAACAACTATTGCTGCATTCCTTGTGAATCACCTAAGAAGGGCAGGTGTTCCGTGTCAGTTCTTCTTTTTCAAGTACTCGGATCAGACGAGAAGGTCCGTTGCAACTTGTTTCAAGGTACTCGCGTACCAGCTGGCCAAAAGCGTAACAGCTTTCAGGAAAGAATTGGGCCGCATTTCGCCAGAGACCTTGGGCCTCGAATCGAGTTCGGACCCGATGTTGACATGGCGAGCACTCTTCGAACAGGCCTTACTGAAGGCTTCATCCAGCGAAGTTTACTGGGTCATTGACGCTCTGGACGAGTGCGAATCTCCGCGGATATTCTTGGACTGCCTGAAAAGCATTTCTGATGCAAACGTCCCATTCAGAATTATCTTGCTCAGCCGTAGTACAGATGTTATTTCGGCAGGTGTTGACAGACTATCCTCTGGGATTCTTGTCGAACAGATCGAGAGCCCCAACCCAGATCACGCCCAAGAAGATATAAGACGATTCCTCACACAAGAGCTCCGACACATGAGGGGGGAAACTGACTTCAAAGATCGCCTGTTAGAAAAACTGCTCGCTCGTTGCGAAGGGAATTTCTTATGGGCAAAATTGGTCTTGGACGAGATTCTGCATTGTCATACAGAGGAGGGCATCGAAAATCTACTCAGAGAAGTCCCAGACGACATGAATGATTTGTACAGACGCATGGAGGAGAATCTCACCAGTTCCGTTCGCAGGGCCAACAAACCTCTTATTCTGGCGTTGTTTCAGTGGACTGTTTGTGCTCAACGGCCGCTCGACCTGAAAGAGATGTCACAGGCTCTTCAACCTCAGTTCTCTCACTTTGTCGACCTCAGATGGACCATCAAAGAGACCTGCGGTCAGTTTCTTCAGGTTCAGGAGAGTGGTCAGATCGATATGCTGCACCATACGGCCCGGGAGTACCTCACCAACAACCGCGATGGTGATTTCCACGTTGAGCCTCGAAAAACGCATGGCATTCTCTTCCAGACGACCATTAGAGTTTTAAGCGACCCCAATCTACGTTGGAGACTTGTTCAAAGCCAAAATCTCCTACAGGACAGCGAACCTTTCGTCTATTACAGTGCAGTCAATTGGTCCTATCACCTTGGCCATAGCAACCAGGCCTTCGACAGGTATCTCGACCTACTTGTCGACTTCTTTCGCGGTCAGGCAGTTTTGACCTGGATTCACATCTTGGCGGTATCGAAGAAACTGGAAGTCCTGGTCAAGACCTCCAGAGTCTTGACATCATTTGTGCGGATTTTCAAAAGGCTCAATGCTACGAGAAATCCGATGCAACATCGCCTGACGGACGTTCAACTTCTCGAGGACTGGTCGGTTGATCTAATCAAAGTCGTTGGAAAGTTCGGATCCCACATAATGTCGATTCCTGGCGTGGTTTACGAAGTTGTACCTGCAGTCTGTCCCGGAGAAAGTGTCTTGCGCCGAACATGCTACTCGCCTCATACAAGCTCTCTGAGGATACAAGGGACCGAAATGGAGGACTGGAGTGATAACCTCGCTAGGCTGACACTTGATGGAAAATCGAAATGCTACAAGATATCGTGTGCAGGCAAATATCTTGCCGTCCTCGCTCTGGGAATCCCAGGGGCGACTTATATCTGGGATACGACCAACTTCGCACGGGTTTGTGTCGTGGAGCATGGAGAAGCTGTTGTAGCTATGGTCCTCAACGCTAGGGGGGATACGCTCGCCACGTACGGACTCAAAACCACCAAGATGTGGTCAATTCCTTCGGCAACACTTCTGAGATCAACAACAAATCCTCGCTATGTCAAAGCCAAGGCCCTCGTGTTCGCTGAGGGCGACCGGAAACTCTTATTTGGTGGTGATGACAATGTTGTTCGAAGCATCTCTGTGGAGGACTTCAAAGGGTGGCAAATACCTCTTCCTCATCTTCTCAAGGAGACAATCCGCATCGAAGGAGCAATCATTAATTCTCCGATGTGTATCGCCTTCAACAGCGGTAACAACCTTGTCGGTGTATCATACCGAGGCGCACCCCTTTCTATCTGGAGTCTTCTGGATGGCCGCTGTATGAACCGATGCTATAGGTCCAAATCTTTCCAGGACGAGAGGAGACAATCTTCAAACACATCGCCAAGCTCCACCGCGTGGTGGGGAGTCGACAGGTTCACATGGAATCCAGTCACGGATCACGTACTCGGGGTGTACAGAGATGGATGCGTTTTCAAGTGGCACCCCTTGACGAACGAAAATGTGGAAGCACCGAATGCACGCGCAGACGAAATAGCAGCCAGTCCAGACGGCAAGTTTTTCGCTACTAGCAGCAGCAACGGCGCTGTGAAGATTTGGAGCTTTGCCTATTTCACAATCATTTACCAGTTGTCATCCGATGACATTGTGGCTCAGTTGGCGTTTAGTACGGACAGTCGCCGTTTCTATGACCTGCGCGGCGGTTCGGTGAATGCCTGGGAGTCGAACAGTCTGGCCCGGTTCTTCGATCAAGAGGAGCAAGTCACCAGTGACACAAACAGCGAGGATCGGTCAACGACTGAATTGTCCAAGTTCTCAGAAGCAACGCTCGTACCGTTCGAAGCAATTTCGGCATTTGCTCCAACCGCAGACGGGTCTCTTTACGCGGTGTCATATAAGAACGGAGCTGTGCACTTGTTTGAGAAAGGGCAAGAAAACGGCATAGAAATTGCCCGGTTCCATAGCTTCTTCGATGTGCAACACATCCGATGGAGCAAAGACGGGCAATACGTCACTGTTAGTGATGTTTCAGGACGCATAGATGTGATGTCTGTTCGACAAGGAGCTGAAGAAGCGGGAGGCCTGAAGATCTCGAATTTACCGAGCCCAGATATCCTCCTGGAAGATCAGACTATCTACGAAATTCTCTTTAGTGGGGATTGCCTCCATATGATCATCGTGGCGAGGAACAAAATCTTTGTCTGTTTCGTTGGAACAGGCAGTCTCACAACCTCCAAAGACTTTGACAACTGCATGAGCCGTGCTTGGATATTGTCCCCTTCACAACCAGATCTTTTACTAGGATTTGGGCAGGAAGACATTAATGCATACAGATGGCAAGACCTCGAAGTTCAATGGTCTCAACCATACAAACGTCAGGAGGAAGCCAACACGACCGGAAAAGCCGAAGAAAAAAGGAGTTCCGTGACGTCGATGGATGCCGGATTCTCTGAGATATCCCTAGATGGAGAGAGCACAGACACCATCACTGCGACCTTGGCCCAGGATGGCAAGCAGATCCTGATTTCAGGGGTTTCAAATTCCAAGACCAAGGAAACGACTCTAAGGGTTATGATCTTCAATATGGATTGTCTGATTCCACTCAAAGACGGTTCACTCCCTAAGCATCTGGGCTATTCGAGTATTCCAAAGCATATCTGTGCGCGTATCAAGACCATTCTAGGGATTATTCCCAGCTCGAGTCTGGTATTCTTGGATCACGACCTCTGGATTTGCACATATCCTCTGGGATCGAACTCTTATGGCGAGAATCATACCCAAATGATTCAAAGGCTTTACTTCATACCGAGGGACTGGGTGGGCGAAGTAAGTTTGGACAGATGCGTCTTGATGAATGATGACACCATATTCTGGCCAAGAAACGACAGCGTCGTCGTCATTAAGTGCAACCTGGATGACACTCGCCTTTCGTCCTCGGTCTGATGTTCAGTTCGTGTTGCTGGCTCGTTGAGGGGGGGGGGGGAGGACCCATGATCAGGGCGTGGATGTACAATTATTACGGTGTTGCTAGAGAGCCATAGTAATAAATCGTCGTTGTGCAAATAAAGGAAAGCTAGAAGTCTACAAGCCGCAGGCGAAGCTGTGACGTTTATATAGCGGGCCACTGTAGTGGGTATTGTGACAACAATTGCTTCCGCTGGTGCTCCATGAGCCACGCCTACCCGGAATAGGCTCAAAGCAAAATCAAACTTAGGCATTTTAGGAATATGAACTTATCCAAGCATATGTAAACAGATTAAAAACGAGACCACTGAACTTATCCAAGCACATACAGAGTCAAGCTCCATTCACATTGTTTGCTCTCAAGCCACAAACTTCGAGGTCACGTTTAGGCATTGGTGGTTGCGAAATCCCGGGGAAGGCAGCTAGGGCTACATAAAAACTTTTCCTCTCAATTCTTTGGAGCAATGCAATGTACTGGTTGGCACGAAGGATTACCAGGCTTGCTAAATTGAGAGTTGTTAAAATCCCCCTTCTCTGGGTATCTTAAGACCGCTGACATCCTCAGTGAGGTGGAGACTGCATATTGATTTGGCTGATTCACACCACAACAACTGTTATTATGTTAATGTACATAGGACTTGCAGAGTCACAAGTAACTAGAAATTGAAGTTCATGACCAAAACTAAAGGCTGAGTTGAGATCTGCAAGGGACTGTTCAACGATGATAAGATGAATGGGTGTTCTTCAGCATTTTCCAATCTACCATGTCCTTTTCCACATTATCACACTTCTTTGGAGCTGCATCAGAGAAAATACCAATAGATACAGGGCTTAATCACAGCACAGACTCCAGGTAAGTGGAGCGTTCCTCAGACAATTGAGTCACTGACATAAGTCCCTGAATCGAGGCCATGTCGAGCCTTCTTGGCCAAGCGGTAAGGCGTCGCACTCGTAATGCGAAGATCGACGGTTCGATTCCGTCAGGAGGCATTTTTGTGCTACTTAGACATTGGGCGGTCCTCTTCGCAGGACGAGCTTTGTTTTTCACTTTTTTTGCCCAGCTCACAACTTGAATGAGCACGCTGTCAATTAGTAAAAAAGCAATATGTTACGTTCGGTGCAGATTGGAGGCGAAGATATTTGTTTGGTCGAGTGCGGATCGTCATCTTCCTTCGATGCACCCAATTCTAGAAGGTCAATTTGAGTTTGGCAGAAGCCGGCTACATTTCCGAGATCGACACTCTGCACTCTGGAGACCTAGACTTTCCAGGCCAGGCAAACCTGGGGAAACCGCTGATCACACGAATGTCAAAGCATACACAATCGGGGAGCGACAGCACCAAAGAATAAATCACCAACACACCGCCATCGAGCGTGCCGGCCAGCTTGGGAAACCAGCGAGCCGGCCAGCCAAGAACGAAGCAGATAGCCATCGGATTGCATGTGCCATTTCGCGTCGATCAGATTGAATCAGTCAACATACGGGGTCACCTAGTGGCCATGGATGCACCGTAGGGTGGACCCCTAAACTGAGGCGAGAACATGAGCCTGCGTCCGTGCTGGGGCCAGGGGACTTTCCGGCTCCCAAATTGGACAAACCCCTGGCGGTAATTTTCACGTGGCTTGGCATCCCATTCTCAACGTCTCGTCCTCTCTCGCTTCTCTCTCGTACCACCAGTGTGCCTCGTAATCCACCGCGCTGCAGTGTCTCGACAGAAGTGAGAGCTGACGACGCCCGGCAACGTTTTCATTGCCTCCCTGCACAGCCTAGTAAGCGCTTTTGAGAGGTACCATGGCAGCATTTAGGACACAATTCTACACTGAGCAGATGTCGATACGACGGATACGCAGTCCGAACTGCGGTTGATTTTCTCTGGTCCCACCGCCGTGGGTCAAACAGCCATGGCGGAGGGGTCCCCTTGGCCACTTGCACCATGGGGACAACGCCCGGGGACGCAGAGATGGACCCACCGAGATCAGCTTGCGCCTCACGCCCCTTTCTCCTTCTCTGCCTTTTCGTACGAGGCAGCTTTTCCATCCTCGGAGAGCGAATGCAGTCAAAAGCATGCAGCCCTACCCGTGCTGCTGAACCTCCGGCGGCCCCTCTTGCTGCCCTTTCTCCGGTTTTCGATCTTCTCGACACTCGTTGCCCGCCCTCTTTCTATTACCACCGCTAATTGTTTCCTTTACTTAACTTTGTTCCGACGCCGCGTGCCTGTGCTTTTGGGCAAGACGTGACTCGAGGCAGATAGACACCATGAAGCTCTCGTCCGTGGCCTCGATATGGCTGGCAGGCGCCATGGCGCCAATGGCCTTGGCCCTTGAAATCGACTGGAACTCAGAAGGTGCGTCGGCACAACACACCCCACGTCTGGCCTCATCCGGACTTGACAAGCCTCTAGCTCCCGCCGGGACATGTTGAGCTAATGCCGTGACAGACTCGATCAGGGAGGGCGCATCGACGATAGCATATGGCTTGATGAAGTACTACACAGGAAACAACACCGGTGACGTGCCAGGCAACTTGCCAGACCCATATTACTGTATGTCACTGTCTTTCGCCTGTCTCCCTCCAGCCAGCAAACTGACCGCGGACAACACATACAGGGTGGGAAGCTGGTGCAATGTTCGGCGCGATGGTGGACTACTGGGCATACACAGGCGACGAGACATACGTCAACTCGACATACCAGGCCATGCAACACCAAATAGGCGACGACCATGACTTCATGCCGCTCAACCAGACCAAGTCAGAAGGAAACGATGAGTACGTACACACATGATGGAAGGCCCTGTCGTCTCATACCCCTGCTCGAGTGGCTTCCAAGACCACAAGACTGACCAGACCATAGCCAAGGCTTCTGGGCACTGTCCGCCATGTCAGCCGCCGAGTTGAACTTCCTCAACCCAAACCAGACCGAAGAAGGTGGAACCCAATGGCTCGCCCTGGTGCAGGCCGTCTTCAACGAGTACGTCGGACGATGGGATGACGCAGACTGCGGCGGCGGACTACGGTGGCAGATCTTCACGTTCAACAACGGCTACACATACAAGAACTCCATCTCCAACGGGTGCTTCTTCAACCTGGGCGCCCGCCTGGCGCGGTACACGGGCAACCAGACCTACGCCGACTGGGCGACCAAGGTGTACGACTGGATGGAGGCGGTGGGCTTCATCGACGACGAGTACAACATCTACGACGGCGCGGGCTACGGCGACAACCAGAACTGCACCAACATCGACCAGGTGCAGTGGACGTACAACGCGGGCATCTGGCTGCACGGCAGCGCGGTCATGTACAACTACACCAACGGGTCGGCCGAGTGGAAGACCCGCGTCGACGGCATCCTCAACCACACCTCGCAGCAGTTCTTCCAGGACCAGGTCATGTACGAGCCCGCCTGCGAGCCCGCCTTCCAGTGCAAGACCGACTCGCTCTCCTTCAAGGCCTACCTGGTGCGCTGGCTCGCGGGGACCGTGCAGATGGCGCAGCACACCTACGACATCATCGGGCCCCTACTGTCCGCGAGCGCCGTGGGCGCCGCGCAGCAGTGCTCCGGCACGGCCACCGAGGCCGACGGGTACAAGGGCGTCAGCGGCACGGCCTGCGGCATGCACTGGGTCGACGGCGCCGAGTGGGACGGCATGAACGGCGTCGGCCAGCAGATGGCCGCCCTGTCCGCCGTCTTCTACAGCCAGGTCAAGAACTGGAACGCCCCGACGCCCTACACCGCCATCACGGGCGGTACCTCGACCGGTGACGTGAACGGTGGCCAGGACAAGACGGACGAGTCGCTCAGCACGCTCAAGCCCATCACCGCCGGTGACAGGGTCGGCGCTGGGTTCTTGACCACGCTTGTCGCTGCGGGCCTGTTCGGTGGCTGCTTCTGGATGGTCAAGGAGTGAAAGTGAGATTTGTGCTTTAAACATAGACCTGGCCATTTCTTTCTCTTTGCATGTGGCCTTGTCAGCCCCTGTATTGTTCGAGGCTCTGGTAGACGCATTTGGGAATAGGTTAAACGGACTGTATTGTCCTGGCACGGCGTCTGGAGTCTTCATCATGGGTCCATAATGCCCTCACATATTCCATAGAGGCATGAATTCATTCTGTATGATCCCACAGAGGCTGGAGGATATAGATTATAGCTTTCGTAAACGTCTCCCCTGGACTTGCACACGTGAATGCAACAATTCCAGACGTAAATAATCAAGGGCTGGAAACCTTCTGCAAGATGGATTCCCGGCTCAAGGAGGAGAGGGAGGGTCCACAACACTTAATTGTTTCTTCGTTACATGGTGGGAAGAAAATCATTTCCTCAACGCATACAAATTTTTCAGGGTTAGAAACACGCGCCATTAAATTCGACAAAGAAACAACCGCAAGATACCCTTCAGCGGATTTCTTGGTCTCACATGCGCCAGCTATCTAAATCCTCCACACCCCTGAAACTCTTCCCAGCCCTCTGGGAGCCTGTGCTTTGTCATATCGCCCCGAGTGAAGGTCTCGCTGTCCGCCTCAGCCAGCAGTTCATACTCAGAGCTCCGGAGGAGATTGAAATGAGCGCGGAAAAGAGCTGCATGGATCCGGAAGGTACCCTTCTCGATTTCCGGGAGGATATGCAGTCGGTCGAGGTCAAACCTCAGCCCTCCGTTCTCCGTCACCTTCGAATGAAGACCGGACAACGAGGTCGGACCCTCCAGTCCATCGATAGGGTTAGCCATTGGGTGCTGTGGTGCGGAGGTGGCCGTTTCGTCAGTGTTGCCATCTAGTTGCTGAAGCTGAAGCTCGACATGGAATCTAGAGCGTTCGTGGACATTGTGCCACTTCGGGCTGCCGGCTTTCTCTCCCTCAAGATAGACGAAGCAAGTCACCGTGAAACGGCTGTCGCCCAATTGAGGAATGGGGCTAACGAGCTTGCCAACAATGAGCTCGTACTTCTTCTTGCCGAAGAGCATGTCGAAGGTCTGGCTTGATACAGGCCTATATTTTCAAGATATTCAGTCCGATGTTTAGGGACAGATGCGAGCAGGATACAGGACATGGGGTGCGCAAATCCAGAGTTTCGTGGGGATACCCATATATTATCACGACCACGCGTTGCAGGCTTTCCTTGTCCATTTACCAACAAAATCAAGTAGACAAAGCCGTCGTATTTTCGTCGACTTTCTTTGTTGGAGAATGATCAGCCAGGGGAGGAGAACCAAGACACCGTGTGTTGGGGGTTAAAAATAATATACCCAGACAAGATGTCTTCAAAAGAAAATTTGATAGCGATTCCCTGTCGGTTCTGATCAGTCAACGCGTTCAGCCTCCGTTGGTCACAATTGGCCTCCTTCTTTATGAACCGCTGGGTATTTGCAAGATATCATCAGCGAGTAAGTTTCAATGGCAAGGTGCATAGCACTTCGTGTCCTGGGAGGTCTTTCTGCGAACGATGCTGCAGCGAGCGCTCTGTCCGTGATTCCCAAGCTTGACAACCAAAGTCAATCACATCTACGAATGGCCTCGTGGTGCGGGAATGCGTTTATATCATCAGTTGTTCCAAAAGCGGCATCCCACAGACTGTACACGGAGAGTTTACGCAAATGTCGGTCCCCCTTGCAGAGTTTGGCTCAGGAACTGATTGCACTGGCATGGCCAAATGAATTCTTCACATTGGGATCGTACACATGGTAAAGCCGAGTATGAAATGCCCATGAAATTGGTTGGCGATTGATTCCCAGTCACATTCCAACTATCTATCCCTTCCTACCAGTGGTAGCACTTCTCTATGAAGGTGAGACTGACCATGGCAGGATGCTCTCCAAAGTGACATGCATCGTTTCAAGGCAGTGGGATCTTAATGTGGCTTGTCCATCTGGAAATGTGCTTCGTATCTATCTATTTCTCATAATAGAAAAAATATTGGACTTTACAAGGCGACTGTACGGTCACAACATCATTTTATATCTCGTGCAGCTTTCCCTGACGCTAGTTCCGGCATTATATTCCCTCACAGATCAGCCTCATCCATGTTCCTGACGAAAAGACTGTACCACTTCACACCACTGACATGGCCCTGCATGCTCATCTTCTCGTCCACGGTGTGGATGCCGTCCATGAAGTTCTGGGCCGGGTCGAAGCCAGGGTTATACCTGAAGATGTGCTTGGTAAGGTCCCAGTAGAACTTGGTGTCCGTGTTGCCAGTCATCAAGCCAGCGGAGACGACGACGTCCTCGCCGTAGAGGGCACGCGTGGTGCCAGAGAGGATCGAGTAGGGCGTGGCGTCACCGTTGTCCTGGACGTCCGTCGGCGAGACGGGGGCGGGCTCCAGGGAGTGGCCGACCTTGAGCGTGATGGAGCGCGGGGTCTCGGCCTCGTCGGTGAAGGCGTGGAGGGTCAGGTTGTGCTTCTTGGCGACCTCGGCCGCGATGCCCGTGATGCGGTCCTTGACGTCTGAGACCTTCTCGCCGACGTTGACACGGTGGTTAACGGTGAGGACGGTGCGCTCGGGCAGGGCGTTGACCTTGGCGCCTCCGCTGATGAGGTCCGCGGCGACCGAGGTGGTGAAGAGGTACTTGACCGCGTCACCTTCCTTGGCTGCCTCCAGGGCCAGCTTGTCCCGCTTGTGGCAGGTCGCGACGCCCTTCTTGTCACGCTTTCGCAGCTCCTTCTTCACCCTGGGCGGGAACTCTGGTGCATACTTCGCACCGCACTGGAGGAGACCGAGGTAGGGGTTCTCCTCGTACAGACGTGGCTCGTACTGGTTGGCCTCGATGTGGGTGATAAGTTCTCCGGTAACACCAATGCCGTTGTGCTTAGGCGGGATTGACGAATGACCGCCGGGCATCCGTACGATGACATCAACGTCAATGTAGCCCTTTTCAGCGACACCAGGAAGAGCGAAGACGGTGCCCCACTGCTTAGCCAGGCCAGAGCCCTCGTCGACGATGATCGACGCGCCATCCTTGCCGTAGCGGTCAATGAGACGCTCGGCCAAGTTACCAGCACCCTGGTAGCCCGAGATCTCCTCGTCAAAGCCAAAGGACAAGACAACCGTCCTCTTGGGCTCGAAGCCGGCGTCGATGAGCTGCTCGACGGCCTCTAGGATCCCAATCAGGCTGCTCTTGTCATCCGCAGCGCCACGTCCCCAGACGTACTTGCCGTCGAATTCGCCGCTGAACGGTGGGTGCGTCCACTGCTCAACGGTGGACTTCTCGACAGGCACGACATCCTGGTGCGCCATGAGCACGGTCGGCTTCAGCCCGGCGTCTGAGCCCTTCCAGGTGTACAGCAGGCCGTGGGAGTTGACCTTCTCAAGCCCCAGGGTGCTGTGGACGAGCGGGAAGGTCTTCTCCAGGAACGAAGCGAAGGGAGGGAAGACCTCCCACCGCTCGTCCTCGCCCACGGGTCCCATGTTGTCATAGGACTGGGTGGCGATCTGGATGGCGTTGGACATGCGGACAGTGCTGGCGTTGAGGAACTGCGACGACGCGAGGTACTGGTCCATGGACGCCAGCGAGGAGGAGCCCTTGCCTGGGAAGAGAGGGTCAACCTGGCGACATTGCTGTGCAAGGTCCGGGCGCGAGACGGGGCCTTGGTCACCAAAGATGGCAGAGGGCAGGCTGTTGGTCCAGCACAGGCCGAGGAGGGCCAGCGCGGGGACGGCGATCCATTTGGACCGGGTGCACCTCGTCGCGGGCGCCGTTGGGTAACGCGCAGCTGCAGGAACGTCGTCCTGCATCAATGGCAGCTTCTCACTGACTGGAGCCATATCTCACAAGGGAGCCACTTCGAACTCAAATTCCCTACGTGCTGGGCAGGAATGAGGCAGATAACAGTAGAAGAAAGAAGAGGTGGAAGAAAGAACCGGCGTCAACGGTCCGGCAGCTCTGGCCTTGGACTCGGCAGAAAAGGTGGAGATCGGCAGCGGCAAAGATCGACAAGGGTCATGATACCATCGCAACAGGGATCCTAATCACCACGTCGGCATGGTATGACCAGGACACCTTTCTTTTCGTTAGACAAAATCCTACGGAATAATCCTCAATGGGATAGCATTCTGTAGAGCAACTCCTGTACCTGGGTGTGTCATTTGCGAACCGTTTTCCGTATTCCTTCACACCTCACTGACCCTTCCCCGGCAAACCTCTGAAGCTCGAAAAGGCCAGTTTCACCTCCGCCTTAGCCTCTTCCAGACACCATTAGTTGTGAGAGGCATTGACCAAAACAAATCCCCCGAAATCGGCCATCCCTCAACAGATATCACGTCCGAAGACAGTCCGACTCAGGCCTCCGAGAGAAACGACCACGAGGAGCTTAAACACAACCGATGTGCTTTTGCTTCTTTGACCACTGATTCTCTTGTTCCTCGTACGGAGCTGGTGATCGCACGCGCTTCCATCCAGCGAAAGACGCCACAGTGCCAATATTGTACTGCTGGTTGTTAGAGGCAAGGGGGGGTTTCTTGTGCGCATTCTGTGCAAATGGCGATGGCTGGTTCGCATTCTGTGCAAAGGGTGAGTGGTGCGGCTCAGCGGCTTGTGGGGAGGCTGTGAGGGTGAAGTGTTGTTAGCAGTGCACGCTTCTCCTGACACCCTGGCTCGATACTTACACTGCAAGTCGACACTAGACGACTCTCCCTCAGCCTCACTTTCTTCGGTCGAGCTCCCTCCTTCAGAGCTCTCAGAGTCGGAGCATGGCTGCGAAGTAGCCTCTTCAGCCGGCGAAGTACTGTCGTCGGTCTCGTCACACTCCTCACCGCGCCACTTGCGGAGCAGAGATGCTGCTAGGTCTTTCGTAGCGGATGGGAAGTAGGATTCCTGCGCCTCACGGTTCAGGACCAACCCCAGCAGCCGGTCGAGGTCGATGCCTTCCTTGATTTTCGGGCAGATCCAGTCTCCGGAGTGTGCCTTGTCCCACAGGTAGTCCAGCAGGTCATCGGTCTTCTCAACCAGCCGCCGAACGTAGTCCTCATGCAGCATCTGGGCGTACCCGGTCGTCAGGGTGGCCATGGGGCGTTCTCCCATGCCCGCCAGGACCAGAATGGACTCTTCGGCTTCTTGGTTGATCCATTCGATCTCTTTCGCCTGCGCCTGCGCTGCTGCCGCTTCCTCGCGAGCGGCCTCTTCTTCTCTCAACTTGGCCTCCTGCTCTGCCGCTTGTCGGGCGAGAGCTTCTTTTCCCTCCTCCTCCTTTCGCTTATTGTCCTCGTGGACCGCCTCGGCAGCCTCGAAGATCTGGGAAAACCATGCCCAGACGTTCTCAAACTCCTCATCTGATCCAACCTCAATTTGCCGCATTGTCTCCCGTAGTCCTTGGGCCTGTACTTGCTGTTGTAGCTTTGCGAGCCGGTGCCCGTGTGCTCGCAGCTGTGCCTGTACTCGCAATTGTGGCCGAGGCGGGGTCCGTCGCGCCCGCGGTCGCTTCCATGTCTGCAGCTGGAGTTGTCCTCGTGCGGCTGGAAACTGCTCATCGAGGGGTAGTTTCTGGCCTGGTTTGCCAGTGCGCTCGGGCGAGTTCTTCACCTCGTGGTGGACGCGGGCGCGGCTCTGGTCGTATTCAGCGCGCTTCTCAGGGTCGCCAAGGATGTCGTAAGCGCTTTCAATCTGAGTGGTGACGGCACATTAGCATAAGAGCCACTGAAGACCACGATCACGTGACGGCTTTTGGAGAAGGGAAGGCAAAGAAATGGAAGGGCTAGAAAGCAGAAGCGGGAGAACCACCTTCACGAACTCAACCGCATCAGGCGAAGGACGCACAACTTTCCTGTCTGGGTCAAACTTGGCAACAAGTTTCTCGTAGGCGACTCGAATCTCGTTCTGACTGACATGCTGGCTGGTGAGGCCGAGGACGGCGTACAAGTCACGAAATTTTACTTTGTCCATGGCCAAGTTCCGAAACTCGAGCCAAGGGTGCTGAAGACGGTTGTAAGGAGGGAAAGTCGGAGTCAGAGACGTTTGGAAGGTTACTGTCGCTTGTATCTCTGTCAAGAAGAGTTTGGAGTGGCAAATTAAAGGTCGAAGGTCGCAGATCGAAGTTGAGAGTGCGCAAATTGACGGCAGCAGGTAGAAATCATGCGTTGCCCAAAGCTCTGGGGGAGGTGGTTGGTGATGGGCCAAGGGTGGTGTTGTGACAAGATTATCAGAAGCTCCATCCTTTGCGAGAGCTATTAAAATAATTGAGCTAGTGCCATCGCCAGGAAGCAAACGAAGAACAATAGCTGGTGAATGGAGCTCAGACATTTTTTGTTACGATTCTACCGAAGCAGACAATGCAGACGATGTCGTCCCATCGCCCCCAGCTGATGATAATAGGGTAGTCATGGGGGTAAGGCTCAGTACAGCTTTCGATTGGTCACTGCAGCGAGCCTGTGCCCTGGGAATAGTGTTTGTGACAATCGGTCACGGACGAGGGGACAGGGCGCACCTCGATCAGTAAGAGTCTGGTTGGTTATGTGGACCCGGGCTTCACCTTCTAAGTTCACACTCATGAATGGGGCACAGGCTAGATCAGGGCACCAAGTCGTTTGTATTCCCAAACCCGTGGCCATAGCAATTAGGGCAGAGTGGTCGAGTTTTGAAATGTGCCATGTGATCGATCAATCATTCTGGAGAGATCTCGTGCCTCGACCAACACCCACGGCCGCAAGCTCATCCGTGACCCCTTTGATCTCGTTGCTACACCAAAGATTCCGGCCGTATCCTCCCGCAAGAATCGACCCATAACCACCCTTTGGAACCTCCTGCCCGTCTGCATCAGTCTTTCCAACCTCAGGATCATCACTGGCGCCAACCAGGTAAACCGGATCGATGGTCCCCACGGACACATCAAGTAGAGAACCCTCATCTTTCATCCATGTAAGGAAGCCCCCACAAGTTGCGCAGAACCCGCGCCCGATTCCAGGCGTGGCCGAAAACGACCTCAGCGCAGAGGGCGGGCGCTCAAAGGGCGTCCACTCCTCGTTCTGGCTGGCAGTTGTGGTTTTCTCGTCCACTTTGCCCCATCGGAGGCAGACTTTTGGAACCTGGACGCACGACCAGAAAACTGACCCCGAGTTGCGACGGCACTGGGTGCATTGACAAGTGCCAGTCTACCAAACAGTCGTTAGCGGACCGGAGAGAAGGCACTTGCATGCACAGCTTCAACTCCGGGGTGCAGAAGGGAGAACTTGCTCACATTCTTGGCAAATTCATAACCACGGGGAAAGTCCACACGGTAGCGGACAGCTCCACAAAGGCAGCCGCCAGTCACGCGCGCAGGCTTGGGGAGCTCCTCGATTGACGACATGCTTCAGAGGAGATGATGATGTTGCGTCCTTGTGGTGGACGATCTGATCAGACGGAGGAAAAAGTTGTTTGGCATTCATTTGCCAAAGAACAGGATTTCAGCGCTGTTTGCAAGACAAGACGCGGTTTTCCTTGACTCCAAATTTGCCGCCGCCCTGCATGAGGACATGTCGCTCGATGTCATTTGCGCCCTGCCGAGACGCGCCCTTCTGACCCGTCATGTTTTGGCGATGTCAACCCCAGGGTGCGATCTCCAAAAAAGGAAGAGGAAATAGTTGGATGAGAGCTTTCACGATGACCTCGATGCATGGTAATCTGATTTTGACTACCCAGCGCATCGCCACTGCACTTCGTTCAATATTTATGCGGCCGTCCCACTGAAAGCAACGAGGTGGCAGAAATTTGGGTGTCTTGGGGTTGGATCAAGAAAAGCAACTTCATGTAATACTCAAGTTTGGAGCTGTAATCCAATCGTTCGCGAAGGGTACGTCGGTAGGAAGGACTCGGAAAGTCTATTCACGAAAAAGACTCTTTGTAAGGCCTCGGCTCAGTGCAGATCTGCAGGTTAAGCAGAAGATCTCCAGCACTCATCGACTGTAGGATGGAATCGACATCAGTACCTTCCCGGATACGCTGCAGTATGGCCTCAGCCTCGTGAGCTTCCCGGGACCGCAGTGCCTGGAACAACGTGTTCAGCGCGGCATTTGACTCGCGGAGTAGTTGGACTTCTGCCTGGAGCTCCGAATGTTTTCGCTTTAGGTTGTTGGCCGGTGATTCCCAGGGCTCCGTGAAGTACACGCACCCTTGCTGGCTGGCAAGGCACCGGAGGCAAGAAGGCCGTTGTCCATCGCACTACACCCAGGTAAGACCACGCTGTCAGTGCATCTCAAGCCTTCTTGCTCTGGGCTTGTGTGGCGCATAAGAATACTCGCCTTGCACTTGCGTCTCCTGCACGCCTCGCATGCTGCCAGTGTGTTTTTCTTGCGCTGCGTGATGGCTTTCAAGGGAGATGGGCTGTGTCGTGGTATGTCTTGGGGGACTCGAGGGAGGATCGGACGGAGGATTGTGCTCTTGTTGCCACTAGCAAGCTCTGTAGATGGCAAGGTCATGTTTGAAGCGACCTAAAGACAGCTGAAAGACGAAGTGACTGTGGAGGCGAAGACGAGACGAGTTCAAATGTCACGGTGAGCGGCAAATTCCGCAAGTCGTGACGGTCGAATGCACTGCGCATTCAAAAGGCGGCGAGGTGAGGAGTGGTGGATCGCGATGAATTGGATGGTAATTCGCTCGCTCTTTTTGCCCTTGGGGAGGTTGGTCCGCCACAGCAGTGGGACAAACTTCGTGACACGGGAACACGTCAGGATTCAATAACCGAGTCGTAGAGAGCAACCAACGCCAAGCCACAACCACGGCCATTACGGAGAGATTCGCCTCAGCACGTGTCGACATCTGCATAGGTACCCAGGAGTGGCTACTTGCGCCGGAGCGACCTCCGATGTCGTTCATTGGTCAACAATGGTTCCGAGAAAAGGACAGGGTTGTGTTTCCTTTTTGCCCCAGTGTTTTCCGAGTGTTCTCTGGGATGTGATTAATGAGATGGGGAGGAAACCTGATGTGGGATTGTGTTCAGCCAGAGCTACTCTGAAAGATGGCCCCGGGCTGGCATCCCGCAATCTAACACCTCCAATGTGTTGAAAGTTTGCTCGATGTTGATTTTTCTGCCCCAGAAGAGAAGAGCACTGCAGCTTCAAATTGCATGCATTATGATTGATCTGGCTAGGCCGATCTAGGTGGCAGGTGGCTCCCAAATAGCGGCGGTTGTTTCTCTGCTGCCCTTCCTTGAAGTCAGTTACACAGTAGAATAACCTGCGTATGATTATCTATTCTAGAAAAGCTTCTTGCACGTCTCTGTATATCTTGGCAGTGACTGGGCGATTGCCTTGGTACTCGAGGTGACATCACAATCGAAACTGACCATAGTTTTCACGCCCAAGCTCACATGCAGTTTTAAATGATGTGAAATTTTCGCGTATTTAAATCATTACAGATAATATGAGGCAGAAAATTGCAGTACTTTCCAATAAGGGCAGCCGCCTGAAGTTGTTGTTCCTACTAATACTGTCTAGAATGTCTGAAAGGTAGCATGGCTGGCATCAGCAGTTGTGTCCCACAACGAATTGAGCAGAATGTCTGGTGCCGTTTTTCTTTTCGCTCCTGCTAATTATTTGTGGTGAAGGCAAGTCGTTTCAATCAAGATGGTCATGTGGTTGTTTGCACGTTTTTGTGCCTCACACCGCAGCGTGGTGAACACCTACGGTCATTGAGTCTGCGTTAGTGACTCGGAGTCCGGATGGCCCTACCTGATGAGCTCTCTCCTTCCACAGCTATGCTCGTGGGTTTCCTTCCATTCACTCCACATTTCTCTCCCTATTAGTTCCAAATCAGCGTTTGCCTCCCCGGCCAGAGAACACATAAAAACCCACTAGAGCACATTTTCACTCCCACGGTGATTCAGGCTGGCGATCGCAACATCACGAGGCTGCCAACTAATACTATTACCAATGAACCGGCCCCTACAAAATTACAAGGCAATCTAACTATGTGTATGTGCGTTCGAACTTGAATGCCGCCGCATGTGATTCTTGCTGATTGGGCTAAACTTCGTTGCGACCTAGGTATATGTCAGAGCCCTAGTCAGATACCGGCAACTCTTCCGAGCTCTGAGAATTCATAACAGCCAGTCTCAGTTTCTGAAGGACTGCTAGGCCCTTTGGATATGCTAGAGTAATGACACGGCTGGGGTGTGTCATAGTCGAAGTCCATTGGGGAAATGCCAACCCTTCACAATGTCTTGGCCAATCGCAGCGATGCCATTAGATGCATCGGACGACATGTCGGCTCGTCGGTAATAACATTGGTTCTTGGGAGAACAACGTGCTAACATCTTAGTAAGCGCTTGAGCTGCAGAATTGATGTGGTGCCATGCAATTACGACAAATCAAAATCGGAAGTGGAAAGAGCTCAACGGTCGGACGGGGAGGGTTACAGTGTCACATCTTCTTGTTCACCATCGCCCCATAAATGATTGGCCATATGCAGACCAAGGGACAGGCCGTCCTGCGGCTTACTACCAAGGACCACGCCATCGAAGAAAATCCCGCCGGCGCGATAGGTTGGAGGACAAATCAATATACCGGCGTATTTGCGTACACGTATACTGCGACTTGATCGGCCGCTGGTGCCGGACGGTCCGCCCACCTAGCAATCCCCGTCGCCACGGAACACAACGATGCAGTGCACCGTGATGGAGAGCAGAGTGCTGAGGTTTATTGAGGGGTAGGAACGCGTGGGAGGAGGCCCCTCACAAGTCATCATCTTGGCTGCAGTTAGATCAAGAGGCAACGATTTGCACTTAAAAGACTACCTCTCGGACTGCCCACGACTCTGGTCTGCCCGGTCCCTGGGACATCCGACTATCATCTTTTCCCATCCACACTTGTGAACCGTTCTAGAAAGCCAATCCTACCATGGCATACACGACTTTTATCCCGCTCGTCATCATTGCCATTATCATCTTCCAGCTACGCAATGTTGGTCGAAGGCCGAAGAACTACCCTCCCGGGCCACCAACGATGCCCATCATTGGGAATTTACACCAAATACCACAAGTACACCCGCATGTTCAATTCAAAAAGTGGGCAGAGGAGTATGGGTATGTTTGAATGGGCCTCACGAGCAGGAGGAAGCAAACAGAATTACTGATTCCGACCGGCAGACCCGTTTACTCTCTCATCCTGGGAACCAATGTCATGATCGTGCTCTCGACGGACAAAGCTATCAAGGATTTGTTAGATAAGCGCAGCAACATCTATTCGTCTCGCACTGGACTCTACCTTGGCAACTTGGTCAGCGGGTACCTGCGCGTACTCCTCATGCCATACGGCGAGACATGGCGTATGATACGGAAGATCATGCACTCTGTCCTGCACATAAACGCGTCGAAAGGATACGTCCCGTACCAGGACCTCGAGAGCAAGCAGATGTTATGCGGCATTCTAGACCAGCCACACTTCTTCGCCGATCATATTCGCCGCTTCACCAACTCCCTCACCACGCAGATGGTCTTTGGATTCAGGACCATAGACATCCACGACGAGAACCTGAAGAGGTTGTACGATTGCGTCGAGCAGTGGAGCGAGGTGATGGGATCGTCTACGGCTGCCTTCCTGGACGTATTTCCTCTCCTGAGGAAACTACCTGACTTCATGCTTCCGATGCGGCGCTATGCCAAGGAGCTACATAGGAAGGAGAAGGCGCTTTACGTGGGACACTGGATCGATACGAAGCAGAAGATCCTTCAGGGAACAGCAATGGTATGTCTCGCCGGGGTTCTACATGCGTGGGACGTGGAAGATTAACGTTGAACAGCCCTGTTTCAGCGTCGGAGTTGCTGAAGGTCAAAAGGCCTATGGCTTCTCCGATGATCTGGCGGGATATATCGTTGGCTCACTCCATGAGGCTGGGTCAGACACGACAGCATCCACGCTGAATGGTTTTGTCCAAGCCATGGTTCTGTACCCATCGGTCCAGAAGCAGGCTCAACTCGAACTCGACAACCTATGCGGCACCGAAAGGCTCCCAACTATCGAAGATTAGGACTCCTTGCCTTATATCCGCGCTTGTGTCAAGGAGACTCTGCGCTGGATGCCCACGGCTATTCTCGGAATGCCGCATTCAGTCATCCAAGATGATGAGTACATGGGTTACAAGATCCCTAAAGGCGCCGGAGTAATGTGTAAGTTCCTGCCCATGAAATGCTGCCCTTTGCTTGGAAAATATGGCCGGGGCTGGGCTTGTTTGCTGTCGATTCGCGACTGCCTTGATATTCAGAGGTCAGGGACGATTTGCTGACAACTACACAGGGAACGTATGGGCCATCAATATGGACGCAAACCGATTTAAAAACCCACGGGCTTTTGATCCCTCGCGGTACGAAGGCGACAACCAGACATCAGCCGAGGCGACGATGAACAGTGACCCCAGCCAGAGGGACCACTTCGTCTTCGGGGCAGGGCGCCGCGTCTGCCAGGGCATGCACATTGCAGACCGCTCCTTGTTCTTGAGTATCTCGAGGCTGCTGTGGGCCTTCAACTTCGAAAAGGCAGTCGATGCTCATGGGCAGGAGATTGTGCCGGATGAGAACGATCTCACTGAAGGCCTTTTGGTGCAGCCGAAGCCTTACCCGGCAAAGATAACCCCAAGAAGCGAGATACATGCGCAGGCTATCCGGAAGGAATGGGAGGGATGCCAGACACTCCTTGATGAGAGTAAACAGTGGAGGGAAGTCCCGAAAGGAATGGTATTGAAGGCCCCTGTGCCGTCAGAGCTGAAAGACTGAATGCGCTCGACTGCGGCAGCTTCCACACGGCATGTATGTCTCGGAAACGACTTGTAAGGATGGGGACCGTACTTCTTCGCCTGCAGGCTGCCTCGCTCTATTCTCGCCTGCGCAAGGCTACGCGGATCGCAAAACTCATACCATCACTATGTAAGAAACACAGTCTTTAGTTGTATGTTTACACAAAAGAAACAAGTTCACTAAACTAGACTACTTGGGCTATATACTACAATTGGAGATTACTGTGAAGTATGTAGATCTCAAAACATAGAAGCGTGTGTGTACGGGTCTTGTACACAAACGACGTGCTACCACATCTTCTTATGCTTCTTCAACGACGAAGTTGTCGAAGTACCACTGAGTGGATGCTGAAGAATAGGGTGAAAAAAGCTCGACGTCAATCACGTCATTCCCTACCGCAGTGAAGGTGGCGCTGAAGGGGCTCCATGTATTGCAATCACCCTGAGCCACAAACGAACTGATCTCGTTTCCGTTAACATAGACATACCGAATGTCATTCGTCCCGCCGCAACCGGCCACCTCGAAACTGATGCGGTAGGTGCGGCCGGAGACGGTGTTTGTAAGGTAGTTCTCGAGGAACGAATATTTCAAACCGAAAGGCGGAAGGAGGTCAAACTTCAGCACGTAATTCCCACCGGCAGGATGGGGTGGAGTGGCCGGTGCCGAATCAGACCTGACAACGCCGACGTTTATTGTTCCCACATGGTTACCTAGGGACCATGGAGCGAGACCGCCAGTTTCAAAATCTCCGTTCGTGACAAGGTTTGTTCGTTGGATCGCTTGAGTTGGCGCTGCTTCGGTACTGGAACTTGAACTCGAGGAGCTTGTCGTCGTCACTTCGGTACTGGAGCTGGAACTCGAAGAGGTTGTCGTGGTAGTAGATGGGTCGTCGTCTCCCGGACAATCACCACCCCTGTTGTAAAACACGATTGGTGATTGAGGAACATCTCGCATACCATCCTCAATAGCATAATCATAGAGGAGACATTGCGCTAAATCATCGAGCCCGAAACTCTCACAGTCTGGGTTAGAGTTACAAAGCGCGAGGCAGATAGCGTAGCCTGTCTGTTGATATACTCCTGCCAGAAATAATTAGCACTGACGGATTAATATAGCTCCCTCAAAATTTAAGCCCTTACCTAGATGTTGACCAGCTCTGGTAGGATCTTCATATCCGTGGAAACCATCGCACGTCGGTGTTGCGGCAGCCGTTGTGCTCATCGATGTGCTGCTGGTTGTGGTGCTGGTGCTCGACGTAGACTCGGACGTGCTGGTGCTGGACGTGGATTCGGTACTGGTTGTAGACTCGGTGCTGGTGGTGGACTCTGTGCTGGTGGTGGATTCGGTACTGGTGGTGGATTCGGTACTGGTGGTGGATTCGGTACTGGTCGTAGACTCGGTACTGGTTGTGGATTCTGTGCTGGTGGTGGACTCGGTACTGGTCGTAGACTCGGTACTGGTTGTGGATTCTGTGCTGGTGGTGGACTCGGTGCTGGTCGTAGACTCGGTACTGGTTGTGGATTCTGTGCTGGTGGTGGATTCGGTGCTGGTCGTAGACTCGGTACTGGTTGTGGATTCTGTGCTGGTGGTGGATTCGGTGCTGGTCGTAGACTCGGTGCTCGACGTGGACTCGGTAGAGCTGGTGCTCGCCGTAGACTCGGTGGTGCCGGTGCTAGATGTAGACTCGGTAGAGCTCGTACTCGGCGTGGATTGGGTAGAGCTGGTGGATTGTGTGGAGTCACTGCTCGCCGACGATGCTGTCGACTGCGTAGAGGGCGTGCTGGCCGTTGACTCGGACGTGGAGGGTGTTTGAGTTGATCCCGTGGAAAAAGTCGAGGTCACGGATGTTGACTGGGAAGTCAAACTTGTTTCGGACGGAGATGACTGGGAGCTAGACAAAAGAGACGATGTTTCGGTCGACGAAGATGCACCGACTGGAGAGGTACTAGATCCGGGAAAGCTCGACGTGGGAGCTTCTGAAGAGGGGACTGAGGTCGAAGGGTTTGTAGTCTCCGGGACAGAAGAGCTCTGGGACGATTCTGGAACCGGAGTGGTGGGCAGGACAGACGATGGGGTTCTGGTCGTATTGGCGAATCTATGTGTAGGCAGGCCTGACGAGGTCGAAGACTCGACCGAAGGCGTCGTGGGCAGGTCTGAAGATGGCCCGATACTCTGGGTGGAACCGCCGGAAGAAGGCTGGATCAAAGACGTTGAAGGCAAGTTCGAAGACGGCCCAACACTCTGGGTGGAACCGCCGGAAGAAGGCTGGACCAAGGATGTTGAAGGCAAGTTCGAAGATGGCCCAACGCTCTGGGTGGAACCGACAGCAGTTGCGATCGAAGCGGTGCTTGGTAGCTGGCTTGGAGTGGTAGTGGTGCTGCCAACCACGCATGACCTGGCTGGTGGAATGTTAGCTACGAATGAACATCTCAGAGCAGTAGTGGAATATATCATACGATCGATAATAGAGATAGAGACTGGCAGACATCCTGCCGGCCATTGTGTTGGTGAAGCCACATAGGTGGTGTACACCTGGCCTGTCGCAGCGACCTGGCAGAACCCAGCCTCGCCGCCGGAGAACGAGGCGTTGCGCCAACGCAGAATCGAGTTGTCATTCGAGAAGGTCGTGGCCACAATATTAGCACCGGCATTGATCGATTCGCGAGCGCGGAACGCCGTGAAGCTCGTACCCGCGTCAGCAAAGATCGAAAAGGTGAGACGGGAAGAAATCTGCAATCTTCCGGAATCCAGCCTGTATGTAGTCGCAGATCTGCAGTCCTTGGGATTCGGACTGCCGGCATCGCTTATGAACCCGCCAAGGTCTCTCTTTGCTGCCGTCCGCTTCTCAAGCATGCGGCCGGAAACAGCCGGAATGATGGCTAGAATGATCTCCACGGGGCCCGGGACAGGCGATGGTGCGAGACTGGGGCCTGCTGTAGAGGGTAGAGGAGCGGGCGAGGGCGAGGGCAACACCGACAGCGCTGTCGTCAGAAGCGGCGTTGGGAAGATCGGGGTCAAGGTCGGTAGCTGTACAATTGATGTAATAGTTGTCACAACACCCCCACCCCCGGGCCCCGGATATCCGTATGGCGGCGTCTCTAGAGGGGCCAGATAGTAGCTGAGGTATGTATAGCACCAAGAGGCGGGCTCCTGCCCGTACCCCATGAGTCTGTCATGTTGCACGGCTGGTCACTTCATCAGTAACCGTGGATTTTGTACATGGAGAACTGTGGTACTCCGCAGTGAGTAGACGTACCTTCCAGGTGATGCCCACTGACCAGAGCAACGCCAGCGAGTGTCGAGAAGAAGGCGTAAATTAGGTTTCCCGTCATATTAGAGAAGCAACTGTGCGTAATTGCGTCTAACCGAGAGCCACTGGGGTGCTCCCAAGCAGCCAGGCTCCCTTCGGTCTTATAGTTGGAGCTGCTGCTCTGGAGTCGCCTAATTTGCCCCTGCGTGGTGTCGTCTAAGAAACATCCATGACACCATAGCAACGAACGAGGCTCATGATGCGATGTCTGAGGCAGTTTGACGCGAGGTTGGCGCGGAGACGTGAACGTTTTCGACGCGGGGCATGTACGCGCCACTGAATACGACCAGGTGCGATAGCTGAAGAATGAGGTTGGGAGGGTTGCTGTCTCAACGCCCTTCAAGCGTGCCGCTCCGGCCGCCGCAGCCACACCAGAGGCCCGGGACGAACGTTGAAAACGAGGTTGTTACGGGAACTGACGTGGGGATCTGGGTCCAGGCCTTGGAATGAGGACGTTTTTGGAAGGCTGAGACATGACTAGTATGCGTAAGCTTTTCGCAGATAAGACTTGCAATGGTAGGATTTGGGTAATGTATCCTGTGATTTTCTGTTTATGGTGGGACGATAGCATCGACGAGGCAAGCATTGAATCTTAAAGTCCAGACGTTGAGGTTCCTAACCCAAGGATCGCGCTCTCGCTCGAAGATGTGGAGTGGCGCCTTCCTTGCTGCCTTGAAGGTTGATGCTGCTTCTGTGTCTCGGAGCACTTGTTAATCGCAATTTTCCCCACGTTGCCCACGCGTTTCTTGAGGAATGTGTCGCGACTATTCTCGCACTACCCAGGCCTCATTTGCAAAAGGAGACCCAGCCTTGCAGCAATAAGCTTAGATCTGTATTGAGCACAACTTCGTGCTATATCGCCCGTCAGAAGTTATGCATGTTCACATAGTATTCCTATGCGATTGACCGTGATGTTCTCTGCATCAGGGAGCGAACACTGGTCCAGCACTCCCACCTCGTCTACCAACATGGTGAGAGCCCTAAGCGAACCCAATGTAGAGACCAAGCCTTTCATCACACCTCAATGGCCTGTCAATAGATACCCTTGGGCACACACACTCCAGAAGCCCTCCGAGACCCGAGGGAGGGGGACCGGACAAGTTCCCGCCTGGTGACAGAGTGCAATGCAGCTTCAGTCCTTCCACTTGGTATGATACGTACCCTAGGGGATTCAAGAGAAGAGTCGAACGCTGTATGTATCTGTCACCCATCTTAAGAGTGCGCGGCGAACCCAGCCCAGATCGTGTTTTGACGATTCTCTGTGGAGTGTCTCTCACTTGAGTGGACAACCTCTTAGACAGCTCGATTCGCAAGGTCTCCATTGTCAAAGACGAGGGTGAAGTCTGTGCTTCAACCGTCCATGGAAAGGCATTTCTTGCAACCGCACATATTTGGGCCACACCGCAGAGCTACTGCGAGATCTCGTCGGCACCGGGCATGGCTGTATCCTGTTCAAGTCGCCACCAAAATTCTCGAGCATCGCGAAAGATCAAGACAACGAGAAGGGGCCATAACACCATGATGGACGCAGGAACGAGGTGTGTGAAGACACACATGGAAGTTCAGCACCCGTAAGCCTCCCCTCAGTTTCCCATCTGATCAGATGGAAGACAGCATCTCGTCCTAGCTGGCTTCGCACAGACGTGGCGATCAGCCAAGTGCATGGAGAAGGACTTATAAAAAGATCCCATCTTGTATGAAGCGTTCGATCGCTTTAGAGCTGCCTCGCTGGGCTCCGCCGCTGTAAATGCAGGGCTGGTGGAAGGAAAGCACTACCGAAGTCCAAAAGCAACGCTCACCTTTCAAGATACCGAAAGTATCATGCAGCACGGAACAGAAAAGCACAAACACTTGCAGGGAGCAGGGAGATCATGGCATCTTCCCTGGAGAAGCAGAACCGTCTCATTAAGGTGGAGATGGGGCGGCTCTACCAAAACCGCCGACACGCTTCCCAGTCGCGATCAACCAACACTGGCACGGCAGCCAGCCCACAATTAGGACCCTGAGCGACAGACACGCCGTTGTGCACCGGCGATCGTGTGTGCCATGGGGAAGATGGCCCTCGACACACGGAGCTTCCCCTCGCCGCGTTGGCAACACGCGCTTCGGCATGATAAGCGGCGCGGACGAGACGTTCGATCACCGCGGGGCAAACGCTGATCCCTCGACCCGCGCTGCTGCGACGCCAACACCCGCCTTGGGGCTTTAGAAGCTTTGCAGGCGCCCGGGGAAAAGAAGCAGTCGCTGAGCTTAGCCTTGAGAGCTCATCCATATTAATGAGGGCGTCGTGCCCCGAGCGCAGATCCCGAGCAGTAAGTCGCCCAAGCTTTGACCGCGGGTGCGCTGGGGCGGTTCCACAACGCACCCGCGAGGTTCATGGGCGATACAAGGAGCTACCTGCCCGCGTCGGCGGGCCTCCTGGGCAGCAGCAGCAGCAGCAGCAGCACAGTTAGCAGCTTGATCGCGACACAAAAGCGCTGTCAGCGTAGGCTGGCAGAGTGATACACACGAGAACAATCTGATCTGATCTGATCTGACCCGACCGGGTGCGGCCCGGCTCGCGCCTTGAGCCGATCAATCGGCATGTGAGACGCCGCCTTCTGGGCGGTGGTTTTCGAAAGGAAGAACAGGCGACTGCATTTCGAAGGCCCAAGTCGGCTCTCGCGTCATTGCAATGACACACATTCAGTGCGGCCGGGTCTCCGAGGACAAGATGACTTCATCCTTGGCCGCAAGGGTGTGTGTATTATCACTCCTCTCTCGTGTTGAAGGCCATTGCAGACCTGAGCAGGGCCGAAGGCTGCAGGCTGGGTTACTGCGAATTCGATACGAGAAGAGCAACCCCGCATGTCTTCCTGCAATGAAACGGCGAAACTTTCGGAATCGTCACCATGCAACGCGTTCGGGCGAACTGCATTAGAATCTTGAAGACTTTCTGTGCGTGAGCACCCGCTGCCGTGGGACGTTGGCTCATGCTTTCCCGTCGTCCACAAGGTGATTGCGCTGCGGACACGTGTGGTGTGCCGCGCACACAGGTTCACCATCGCCCTGGCGGCGCGGGACTGTAGAGATCAGAAAGGTAATTCCGAGCTTGGGAGAGATGGCCGGGGAGCCCATGTCTTGGTTTGATGTGCGTCGTTGCTCAACTCAACTCACCTCAGGTCACCTAAACACATACAAGACACGTGCTAGCCAGTGGCTCTGCCCAAAGCAGACAGGACCCCAGCTTTCCCCGGCGGTCTGGAATCCGACCCTCCCCTAGGTGGTACGGTGCATCGTTCAGTGGGCCCCAAGAGATTCAACTGCCTGCCCCTTTTGCGGGGCGACGGCTCAATAGTCCCACCAAACAAGGCTCTGGAATCATTGGGGTGTTCGATGGAGCATTCGGTGTCTTTCACTGGCCATCAACAAGTCAGTGTCACAGGGCGGCTTACTCGATCTTGTTGTTCCGCCCTTTCCAGCTCTTTGCAGGGTGTGGCACTTGAAACAATTCGGGGATCTGCAGATGGGTTGCGGCATCCAGTGGTCTGCTGCCCCCGCCCTATGTGCTGTTTGTTGGTGGGTTGTTTCAAGTTGATCGAGACCACCCCGGGCCCGGAGCCCGAGGGAAGGGTGACCAAAATACGAACCCCAGAGGCCATATTTCGAGATTCGCAATCTCGAACTAGTTTTGCATTGATGGCCTCGTCGATTTGTCGGCAACGTAAGCCAAGGATCACACTGCCCGGTTGCCCGGCTGCCCTGCAACGGGTTGAGCTCCGCCCAATCGTCCGACCGACGACCGCTGCTCAACGTCGCACGGCCGGGGCTGCAGGTATGTCTCCGAAGGAATTATGAGGTGTGACCGTCTGATCGCGAAACGGGTATGCCGCCGGATCGCAATGTGCGTTTGTCGAAGAGACCAGACCAAGGTGAGACCTTCCAGACTTGCTTGACCGATAGCGTGTAAAAATAGATTGGCCGTGATAAATGTTTATCACGTATATTGGGACGCTGGTCGTCCGAAGTTTCATCTCGGAAGGCATTCAATGCCAGTTACACAGCACTCTGTCACGTTTAGAGCCCCAAGTCGTCCGGAGTCCACAGGCTCGAAATAACGACAAGCCTTTTCAACCACAAGGGCTCCTGTGACCAGAACGCGCCGAGACCTGTGCCTCTTCCGTCTGCAGCTATGCCGGGTTTGGCTGGCCTGTCGTGAGATGATTCTTCTTAGAGGCCGCAGCAGATTGATTGGGCCCTGTTTACCAGCTAATGCCTTCCGGGACCCCAGCAGCTGTCAACGCGGGGTTGGGCCTTGGTTGACTGATTGGACAGAGCGGACGGAGGCTCGACCTCCTTCCACTCGTCTGCCTGCGACAAGAACGTAGAGCACCAACCAAAGTGGTGTGTTTGAATCCGGACAATAATGGATCGGTCACCAATGACCCTGTGAGGACACATGGAAGGTCGCATCAAGATCGCTTTCCGCTCCCAGCGCATATCCGTCGCCAGCGGTAGTGCCAGTGTAGTGCCCGAGGTGCTCCCGCCCAGTGAGGCGCAAAGGTAGTCAGTTTCCTTTCTCGGTGGCGTGAGGAATATAGTGCTCTTAGTATTAAAAAAAAAAAAAAAAAAAAAAACTAGCCGCGCAGGGGCGAAATCGACACGCAATGCCCTGGACACTCCCAGCTGAGGAGGCCAACACCCAGGCTGTTCTCTGCCACTGTGACGAGATCAAGGACATGTCGGCAGAGAGCACATGCTGGTACAACCTGCAAAAGACATTCTCAGGCTGTTCAGTAGCTGCCGCTTTGCCGTGTAATTACGCCTTATCGCGACCCCCTCCTCGCAGCTGCAGTCCTTCCTGTTCGGGACGCTCTGTGGGCCAAGGCGCTTTCACCATTGGTGACGGCATTGATGGACCCTGCAGCCAAGCGCCAAGCCGCACCGGACGCTATTCTAGCGGCTAGCTGGTGTGCCCTTGCCGCTATCGTAGACCTGGTCGCCGTGCTGTTCTGGGTGGTGATGCACGCGACTCGGTTGAAT